AAAATATATATATATATGTGTAAACAGAACATAAAACCCATAGCCAGTCAAATTTAATTAGGCGTAGAAGACAAGCCAAGTCATCTTCATTTGATTTGCGTTGTCTCTTTACCAAATTCTCGCACTATTATCTTTGGGAATCATTCTTTTATTTCACTTTTTCGTGTGCGCCACTTGTTAAGGCCTAAGAATAGATCCGAGCCAAGGCCCGAAACGTGCTTGGCCAAATAAAAACCGAATTTTTGCAAGTAATTTGAACATTAAAAACAATGTCGGGTAATAATAATCACTCAATAGCAATAGCAGCAGTGCCAACAAAAGCGGAAGTCCAAAAAAGCCACACGAAAGTGCTGTGCAACATCGCCTCTCGCCTCTTGGGCTTTGTATTTTGTGTCTTTTCGTTTTGGTTTTTACTTTTATTATTGGGCCGCCTTCCTGGCACGAAATACTTTGGTGAGAATTGCAAATTCTCAGCCAATGCAATGGGAGAGAAATAAGTGAAAATATTATGAAAGCCGCCGCCGTCGCCGCCGCTGTCGAAGCAAGTGAAAATCGGAATTTATAATTTTCGTGTGCCGATTTTTTTCCAACCGCAAAAATAGTGCTCCAAGCAGCTGCCACTGCCACTGCTGCTGCTGCAGATGATGCAATCAGCTTGACATGCACATCGAGTGACAGAGCAGACATTGCGCATACGCCGCATTGTACCGACTGCAAATCTCTCGCCCCACAAAAAGCAAAAAAAAAAAGATGAAAGCCGAGCAGATCCCCCCAAAGTTGAGCCAAAGTCGCTTGGCGTTCATCTCCAAACAAGAATTGGAGCAAGTGAACAGGCAAGTCCAACCACACACAATGGAGAAGCCCCAATGCCCTAACTTTCCAGCAATAAATTAAAGATAGCGATACATAAATAGAATCCCATTCGATCTAGATGGTAGCTCTGAAAGAAAGAAGACAGATGACTAAAGATACAATGATTACCATGAAAAATGGCAATTTTACATTCAGTTTATAATTAGTGCATATCAGATGAAAGTGGGAAACAGCAAATAAATCAAACCAATAGAAAGATTTGCTACTTTTTTATCTTTGTCGCTATACTTTATTCTGTAAGATATTAAATAAAACGTATATAACAGTGCTAATGCAACTATAAACTATATATATTATATATGACTAAAACTATAATACCATTTTTTGAGTAGATATTATTTTTATTTTTACATGACAATTTGTGCAAAAAATCCAAGTTTAAAAAACTCATAGCTAAGCCAAAAAAGCATTGATTTTAATTCGGAAAGCAACCCAATGTATGTTGTTATTAGGGTAATAAATCAAATTAAAATGTAAAAAGATATAACGATATAAAATTTGGAAAATTTTGAAAAAATTTAATTTTTTCCGCAAATAGCTAGATCGATTCGGCTTTTAATGCTGATCAATAATATATATGGTTTATAGGGTCGCAAACGACTTCTTCACTGCATTTTAAGCTTCTGACGAAAATTATAACACCTTGAATCTCGTACCTTTGATAGGTTGATTTTAAACCTTGTAGGAACATAATAATCAGGGATCTGATCTACAAATATAATAAATATTAAAGAAACTTTGCTTAAAGCATATGACCAAGATATACCCTGCTCGAAACGTATTATATTATATTTATAAACGTGTTATTCCTATATGCAGACCCCCCAGCCTCAATGATTATGACACTCACACGTGCCAGCGACTCTGGGGCGTCCAATTCAGACTCTTCATCCATGAGTTCCTCACTTGGATTTTCTTGCATGTTGCGTGCCCCACCATATACTATATATATATATATATATTTCTTTTTTCATCATCATCATCTTCTTCAGTAACAATATGCGATTTAATTTTCATTTTCTTGCCACTGCCTCGGCTGCTGTTTTTGTTTTCCGTTGTTTTTTGTCGCCTTGCTCACACATGGAGACGAAATAAAGTGCCAACTCATAATAATGTAAGCCACGGAGGAGATGCCAGGCGTTGTTTATGTTGGTAATGGTGTTTGTTGACTGACTTTTGTTGCGTTGTTACAAGCCAGTAACAAGTGCACAGCCGCCCGCGACATTGTGCAAACAATTCGTGCGGATTTCTTGTTTTGTTTTTGCATTTACTTAAATCATTATGCCATTAAGTCCCTCTAAGGGGCGGTGTCGCTTTAATACATTTTACAAAAATAAACAAAAATAATAAAAAAAACCAGTGCTTCAATTTCGATTGGGCTCTGAGTGGTGCGCCGCGGAACAATTAAAGAGTTAATACCTTATGGCCGTCATAATTTGGTGGCCCGGTATTAAATTGAAAAATACACATTTTATGGGCCGAAAGTAACAGCACAAAATACTGCTCTCGATGAACGAGAAATAAAGCCCCCCAAAAAACTCGTTCCAGCCGGACATGGAGACATGTAAACGCATGGGGCAAATATGCGAACTCCACAGTTCAGTTCACTTTCAAGGTTGTCCCCAGGCATCAAGAACCAAAACAGCAACAGCAGCAGCTGAAAAATGAAAACGAAACTGGAAAGGCGAGCTGCAGTTTTCCGCTCTGTGGGTGTGGGTCTCTTTTGATTGTGACAAGTCACTCCACGCGCTCCCATTCGAAAGGCGCCCAAGTGCATGCATGGCACAAGCCAATTGCGCAATTGCAGTGATTCATACAGTGGACGCCAATTAAGCGAGACCGAGACCGAGACCGAGTCTCGGAGTCCGTGCCCAAGACCGCGACCAAGTGCTAAGCCGCTTAGCCAGCGGACAAAGGAGCTGGCATTGCTTCCTTCTGCGCAACGGCCTTGGGGGAACTGGTACCGCCGATTCGTCGCCGTTCTATAAACTGCGTACTCACGCACAGAACAGTTGCCGAGCTGCTAAAAATAGCCAAGGCAGCGACCTTGTGGGCTTACATAATTAATTGCAACCGGGTTTCGCTGATCGATGGTATGCGGAAAATGTGCTAAAACGAAAGACTCAGGACACGAACGTGACACGAGCGAGGGAGAAGATCTTTATGATGCACTGCCTCACTTATATATATTTATTCAAGTGAAAACAAAACCAAACAAGCTTAAACAGATTAATAAATCTGACAAACAAGATAAATCATCATCATCATCATCATCATCATCGGTTGGCCATGTAAGAAGCTTTAATAATTATTAAGTGCAGTTTAAACTTTTCATAAGCAAAAGGCCAGCTAGTTAATTAAATTTCGTATTCCCATCTATATACTATATATATATATATATGTTCAAGCTAGTGGGATTCTTGTTGTTTTTGAATGCGATCATCGCCAAAAAATCAGCATCACGTTCGGCATACAAAAAGATTTTGTACACTTATTAGCCAACAGCAACAAAAAAGGGGAATGGTGAAAAGAACGAAATGTTATGCGTATATATTATACAATATAAAACAGTCAGTCAAAAGAATACGAATAAAAAAATCAAATAAAAACCGGCATCGTCGCTTGGCAGTTGGCATTTCGACCCATTGACGTAGGAAACCCAAAACTTAATCATATCGCTCTAAAATAGAAGATGAAACAGACAGAACTGAATGTTGTTGAATGCTGTTTGCTCTTGGGGTTTTGAGAAGAGGTCAAGTCGTGGCTGGGCAATGATATATTTGAGTATCCATTAACAGCATAACTTTGAGTCATGAATGAAAGTGTAGAATCGAAGCCATGCGTTGGCATTCTAATTAAGCGAATTCAGAAGAATTCTAAAGAAGATCAAAGGGTGAAAAGAGATTGAACTGGGAGATATAAGAACATTTACCATACTTTTCAGCACCCAATATGTACTCAAGTTTCAGAATATTTACGATTCTCCTCTTCCCTGCCTCCCTAGAACCACGAAACTGTCAAATCTTGGCCCCGTGGGCGTGTCTACATGCGGCTTACAGAATATTATTTGCCATAAATCTTAAGTTTTGCAGAAAGAAAACCAGTTATAATTTGAAATTTCGCCGTGGCCAAAACGGATCTGTGAGCATGGAGTTGGAGACACAGAAGTGCGTGACATTTATCAAGTTTTATGGCTGCTCTGTCCGTTAATTAAAGAACCAACGCCAACGCCAAATGGCAAATAGAAAGCCCCACATTCGGCGGTGGCATCAAGGGATTGATTTTATTTAGAAATTCTAAACGGGAAAGTCATTAAACTGCCACTGCAGTTCTGGGTAATTTGGAAACTAATTTAAATTAGGGCGATGCAGGGCATGTCGTGCCCTTAATTTGATCACACGCTCAAATATGTCGCATTTAGTGATGGGTGGCATGGGTATGGGGCTTTTAGATGGGAATAGCAATGGGAATGTTTATGGCTATGGGAAATCGTGGGTTCAGTAAATATTTAGGCAACCAGAAGACTCACTTTCATTGCCATCGTGAGTGTGTGACACACATTTATTGGTAAACCGCATTTGGGCCACAATTAATGCCAATCACGTGTGGGGTACACCTGACTACTACCACAACTACTGGATTTTGTCACAAAACGTTGACAGGCTAGCTGGATTGCTGACTTTGAAGAAAAACCCCGAATGGCCAATTGAAATGCCAGGCCAGTTGGCCTGACCCGCCGATGAAAAAATGCAAAATCAAGTGTAAATGTTCAACAGAGTGTTTAACACAAAACAATTGTCAAGGCATCGCCTCAATTAGAGGCGGTGACATTGGTGATTCCATCGATCAAAGGAGTGCTGGTGGTGGTGGTGGAGCTAGCTATCCCCTTACTTCGATTCCGTTTCCATTTCCATTTCGTGTGCAGAGTTCATTGGCTCGCAGATTGATTGGTCTGATTGCCTAATAATCTCCTGCCCCCAGTGCGTGGCTTTAATTCGGTCTGCCTGATCCAATCAGAGACATTCGCACCCGCTGGAGGAGCCACAACTTAATTGTCCATAACTAGAAGCGTTGCTCATAATTATTTATAATAATTTTCGGAAAATGCTCTCTTCTCCCCGTTGCAGAGGAAACGAATCGAGCAAACAAAATGATTTCTCGCCGCAAGATCATATCGCGTTCCCTGGACAATTTGGATGCCATCGGGCAAGACGAGCAGGAGGAAGATGTCTGGCACGATCGCGAGAAGCTCTTCAGGGTGAGTATTTCCTGAGGTAATGAGAACCCAAAAATTAAGGCTAATGTCTTCCTCTGCCCGCAGGATCATATCAATGAGGTTCTGGCCAAGTGGGAGCAGATTGACGACGAGATCTGGGCCAAGATAATTGTCTTTGAGAAGAATCGACGCGTGGCCAAGGCCTACGCCCGCTCCTCTGTGATAACCATAAATGGATCCAAGAACGGATTCGATGGAGTGCGGTAAGTTGGTAGTCTTTGAGACTGAAGTTTCCAGTTCTATAATTTATTAAGTTACTTATTTACCTCCATATCCATAGTATTGGCCTAAATGGCTTCGAGAACCCCATGCGGGATGCCGAGACGAAGGTCATTAAGAAATCCATTGGCGATGGCTTCAAGATAAAAATGGACGACATTGGCAATATATTCATCAAGCGTTATGGCAAGAGCAGCATCTATGTGAACAGCACGTCGCAGGGCAATGAGGAGACAGTCATCGGTGGCGACATCATCCAAATGCCACAGATGTCCCTCACATCGGGAACTTCCGCCAAACTGTTTGACATGAAGAAGTTCCAGACGAACATAAACCGGGAGTTTGCCCGAACATATCCAGAGCGTGGCAGATTGGAGCGACAGTGCCTGTCTGCCGTTTCGCTGGTCAAGTCAAACAACAATCTAATCAACTCTCCGGTCTGGATACTCGTGGTCAATGTGGTGGCCATGGATATGCTGAGGAGTCGCCTACAGACCATTCCCAAGTCTATGGATGCTTTGGGCATGCGAGTGCCTTTGACGAATAGCAGCGAGGATCCCTATTCCACAATCGAGAGCCAGGTGGGATTGATCTATCCTACGCCAGCTGCCTCTGATGATTCACAAAACTCCCAGAACTCGAGTAACTCCAGCAAGGGAAGGCGCAGCATCTTCAGTGCCGCCTTCCTCAACGAGGGTCCCTATGTGCCCAAGGTAGGTTCGAGTGTAGTCTTTGTTTATCACAATTTATTAAATATTAATCATTTTACAGCCCGACTATGAGGCTGGTGGTTCGTTGACGCCGATCTATGCGGAAAAGAAGCGTCCAAAGAACAGCAGCAGCTCGCAGCAACGCAAAAAGCAGGATGATCCCTACTACTGCGGCCTCCTGGCACGCATTCCCAACTTCATCAAGTCCTCGAAGCAGCCGTGCAACAATGGGGCCAGCAGCAAGCCCAAGAAGGAGCCCAAGATCTCGAGGAAGATCTCGGCGCAGCATCAGCATCAGCAGTTCCTGCAGCCGGCGCAACCCATACCCATTGCCACCTTCCACCACTCGTACTTCCCCTACAAACTATATCCGCCACAACATCGTCTCTCGCAGTCGCAGATGTCTCTCTGGGATGCACGTAGTCTGATCAGTGCACATGGTGGGTATTCCCTGATCATTTAACCTTAATTATCCAAATAACTTATTTCCCTATTTAATTACAGAATGATCAACCCGGCTGGCCCTAATTTATTCATCGTTTAGCATTAAATTCTACAATTATTTAGTCAAAAGCCTACGATTAAGATTTGGTCAGAGACGGAGGAGGAGATGGATCGATCGATCATGTGGAGTGCATTTCGCTCAGTTTTGTGATAAATGCAGCGAAGTGCAGCCATTTAGAGTATACCACTTAATACGCTCTAACTCTAATTAACCACAGTTAGGTTTAAGGCAAGCAGAGAGATTTAATGATTATGCAATTTGTAATGAGTAATTAAAATTTTGCCATAGTTTCTTAAATCGATTAAGACTGAGAGAATGAATGTCCTAGAGCCCAAGGAGAGCGCACGAGAGCGAAGGGAAGTCGAGAATTATTAGAGGGCAGTTAATGTCATAAGCAAATTAATATTGCTACATTAGGAGAGTTCAATTTATTGTTTTTCTTATTATTTCTTCCTGTACATACAATTCATATGTAAATAAGTTCGAATTAAATATGTAAACGACATTAGTATGCATTAAAAGAAAAGTTTTCAAAAGTCAAGGAGAGTGTTCTCTTATTTTTGAGTATATGAAGCTATTTTACCCCGATTAAAGTCAAAGAAGTAATTTCCGACCCTATAAATTATATATATTCTTGATCAGCATCGACAGGTGAGTCAATCTAAGTATGTCTGATAAAGACACAAAGTTTTACAATTTTTTTAATTATTATTATAAACAGGAAAGGAAGCTAACTTCGGCACGCCGAAATTTGTATTGAAAATTGAAAAATTAAATTAAATTAGGAATTAATACAAAAAAAATATATATATATTTATGTTAAAAACAATAATGTAATGCCTGCTTTTATATATATACATTTTATATTTACAGTTTTACATTCACCGTTTTTAATTTTCTTATATTTTTAACGATCGTTTGTATGGCAGCTATGTTTAATGATATAGTAGTCCGATTATCATAACATTTTACACAAAACTCAAGATTAATTTTTAATGGCTATATATCAAGTTTGAATTTCAAAATCGGTTAAAAACTGGAAAAGTCATAGATACTAACTGCTCATAGTTACTTAATGTTCATAGAAGTTTACTGATCATAGTTAATTACAGGTCATAGTTAATTTTTGATCATAGTTCTATAAATCGTCCGATTGTTCCTATGTCAGCTATATATATGTATATATATAGTCCACCGATTTGGCATGCTCCAATTTATAAACTTGTAAGAGTATATAGAAGATCAACTGCATAGTTTCATTCAAATAGCTTGCTCTTAAATTTGGTGCAAAACAAGTCTCGCACATCTGTAATTATGATTCCCAACTTGTTCTAACATCCCCGGAACGAAGTGACTGCTGCCGGCCAAGTACCAGAAATGTGTTGTGTTACAAAGTTGCAAGTCATTGTTTATTAGTGTTCAAAGTTAGTAACTGATCATACATACTTACTGGTCATAGATACTTACTGGTCAAAGATAATTAGTGGTCAAAGATAATTACTGTGCAGAGTTACTTACTGCTCATAGTTACTTAGTGTTCATAGAAGTTTACTGATTATAGTTAATTACTGGTCATAGTTAATTACTGATCATAGGCCTTTAAATCGTCCGATTGTTCCTATGTGAGCTATATATATATATATAGTCCACCGATTTGGCATGCTCCGATTTATAAACTTGTAAAAGTATATAGAAGATCAACTTCATAGTTTCATTCAAATAGCTTGCTCTTAAATTTGTTTCAAAACAAGTCTCGCACATCTGTAATTATGATTCCCAACTTGTTCTAACATCCCCGGAACGAAGTGACTGCTGCCGGCCAAGTACCAGAAATGTGTTGTGTTACAAAGTTGCAAGTCATTGTTTATTAGTGTTCAAAGTTAGTAACTGATCATACATACTTACTGGTCATAGATACTTACTGGTCAAAGATAATTAGTGGTCAAAGATAATTACTGTGCAGAGTTACTTACTGCTCATAGTTACTTAGTGTTCATAGAAGTTTACTGATTATAGTTAATTACTGGTCATAGTTAATTACTGATCATAGGCCTTTAAATCGTCCGATTGTTCCTATGTGAGCTATATATATATATATAGTCCACCGATTTGGCATGCTCCGATTTATAAACTTGTAAAAGTATATAGAAGATCAACTTCATAGTTTCATTCAAATAGCTTGCTCTTAAATTTGTTTCAAAACAAGTCTCGCACATCTGTAATTATGATTCCCAACTTGTTCTAACATCCCCGGAACGAAGTGACTGCTGCCGGCCAAGTACCAGAAATGTGTTGTGTTACAAAAGTTGCAAGTCATTGTTTATCAGTGTTCAAAGTTAGTAACTGATCATACATACTTACTGGTCATAGATACTTACTGGTCAAAGATAATTAGTGGTCAAAGATAATTACTGTGCAGAGTTACTTACTGCTCATAGTTACTTAGTGTTCATAGAAGTTTACTGATTATAGTTAATTACTGGTCATAGTTAATTACTGATCATAGGCCTTTAAATCGTCCGATTGTTCCTATGTGAGCTATATATATATATATATATAGTCCACCGACTTGGCATGCTCCTATTTATAAACTTGTAAAAGTATATAGAAGATGAACTGCATAGTTTCATTCAAATAGCTTGCTCTTAAATTTGTTCCAAAACAAATCTCGCACATCTGTAATTATGATTCCCAACTTGTTCTAACATCCCCGGAACGAAGTGACTGCTGCCGGCCAAGTACCAGAAATGTGTTGTGTTACAAAGTTGCAAGTCATTGTTTATTAGTGTTCAAAGTTAGTAACTGATCATACATACTTACTGGTCATAGATACTTACTGGTCAAAGATAATTAGTGGTCAAAGATAATTACTGTGCAGAGTTACTTACTGCTCATAGTTACTTAGTGTTCATAGAAGTTTACTGATTATAGTTAATTACTGGTCATAGTTAATTACTGATCATAGTACTTTAAATCGTCCGATTGTTCCTATGTGAGCTATATATATATATATAGTCCACCGATTTGGCATGCTCCGATTTATAAACTTGTAAAAGTATATAGAAGATCAACTTCATAGTTTCATTCAAATAGCTTGCTCTTAAATTTGTTCCAAAACAAATCTCGCACATCTGTAATTATGATTCCCAACTTGTTCTAACATCCCCGGAACGAAGTGACTGCTGCCGGCCAAGTACCAGAAATGTGTTGTGTTACAAAGTTGCAAGTCATTGTTTATTAGTGTTCAAAGTTAGTAACTGATCATACATACTTACTGGTCATAGATACTTACTGGTCAAAGATAATTAGTGGTCAAAGATAATTACTGTGCAGAGTTACTTACTGCTCATAGTTACTTAGTGTTCATAGAAGTTTACTGATTATAGTTAATTACTGGTCATAGTTAATTACTGATCATAATACTTTAAATCGTCCGATTGTTCCTATGTGAGCTATATATATATATATAGTCCACCGATTTGGCATGCTCCGATTTATAAACTTGTAAAAGTATATAGAAGATCAACTTCATAGTTTCATTCAAATAGCTTGCTCTTAAATTTGTTCCAAAACAAATCTCGCACATCTGTAATTATGATTCCCAACTTGTTCTAACATCCCCGGAACGAAGTGACTGCTGCCGGCCAAGTACCAGAAATGTGTTGTGTTACAAAGTTGCAAGTCATTGTTTATTAGTGTTCAAAGTTAGTAACTGATCATACATACTTACTGGTCATAGATACTTACTGGTCAAAGATAATTAGTGGTCAAAGATAATTACTGTGCAGAGTTACTTACTGCTCATAGTTACTTAGTGTTCATAGAAGTTTACTGATTATAGTTAATTACTGGTCATAGTTAATTACTGATCATAGTACTTTAAATCGTCCGATTGTTCCTATGTGAGCTATATATATATATATAGTCCACCGATTTGGCATGCTCCGATTTATAAACTTGTAAAAGTATATAGAAGATCAACTTCATAGTTTCATTCAAATAGCTTGCTCTTAAATTTGTTCCAAAACAAATCTCGCACATCTGTAATTATGATTCCCAACTTGTTCTAACATCCCCGGAACGAAGTGACTGCTGCCGGCCAAGTACCAGAAATGTGTTGTGTTACAAAGTTGCAAGTCATTGTTTATTAGTGTTCAAAGTTAGTAACTGATCATACATACTTACTGGTCATAGATACTTACTGGTCAAAGATAATTAGTGGTCAAAGATAATTACTGTGCAGAGTTACTTACTGCTCATAGTTACTTAGTGTTCATAGAAGTTTACTGATTATAGTTAATTACTGGTCATAGTTAATTACTGATCATAGTACTTTAAATCGTCCGATTGTTCCTATGTGAGCTATATATATATATATATATAGTCCACCGACTTGGCATGCTCCTATTTATAAACTTGTAAAAGTATATAGAAGATGAACTGCATAGTTTCATTCAAATAGCTTGCTCTTAAATTTGTTCCAAAACAAATCTCGCACATCTGTAATTATGATTCCCAACTTGTTCTAACATCCCCGGAACGAAGTGACTGCTGCCGGCCAAGTACCAGAAATGTGTTGTGTTACAAAGTTGCAAGTCATTGTTTATTAGTGTTCAAAGTTAGTAACTGATCATACATACTTACTGGTCATAGATACTTACTGGTCAAAGATAATTAGTGGTCAAAGATAATTACTGTGCAGAGTTACTTACTGCTCATAGTTACTTAGTGTTCATAGAAGTTTACTGATTATAGTTAATTACTGGTCATAGTTAATTACTGATCATAGGCCTTTAAATCGTCCGATTGTTCCTATGTGAGCTATATATATATATATAGTCCACCGACTTGGCATGCTCCTATTTATAAACTTGTAAAAGTATATAAAAGATGAACTGCATAGTTTCATTCAAATAGCTTGCTCTTAAATTTGTTCCAAAACAAATCTCGCACATCTGTAATTATGATTCCCAACTTGTTCTAACATCCCCGGAACGAAGTGACTGCTGCCGGCCAAGTACCAGAAATGTGTTGTGTTACAAAGTTGCAAGTCATTGTTTATTAGTGTTCAAAGTTAGTAACTGATCATACATACTTACTGGTCATAGATACTTACTGGTCAAAGATAATTAGTGGTCAAAGATAATTACTGTGCAGAGTTACTTACTGCTCATAGTTACTTAGTGTTCATAGAAGTTTACTGATTATAGTTAATTACTGGTCATAGTTAATTACTGATCATAGGCCTTTAAATCGTCCGATTGTTCCTATGTGAGCTATATATATATATATAGTCCACCGATTTGGCATGCTCCGATTTATAAACTTGTAAAAGTATATAGAAGATCAACTTCATAGTTTCATTCAAATAGCTTGCTCTTAAATTTGTTCCAAAACAAGTCTCGCACATCTGTAATTATGATTCCCAACTTGTTCTAACATCCCCGGAACGAAGTGACTGCTGCCGGCCAAGTACCAGAAATGTGTTGTGTTACAAAGTTGCAAGTCATTGTTTATTAGTGTTCAAAGTTAGTAACTGATCATACATACTTACTGGTCATAGATACTTACTGGTCAAAGATAATTAGTGGTCAAAGATAATTACTGTGCAGAGTTACTTACTGCTCATAGTTACTTAGTGTTCATAGAAGTTTACTGATTATAGTTAATTACTGGTCATAGTTAATTACTGATCATAGGCCTTTAAATCGTCCGATTGTTCCTATGTGAGCTATATATATATATATAGTCCACCGATTTGGCATGCTCCGATTTATAAACTTGTAAAAGTATATAGAAGATCAACTTCATAGTTTCATTCAAATAGCTTGCTCTTAAATTTGTTTCAAAACAAGTCTCGCACATCTGTAATTATGATTCCCAACTTGTTCTAACATCCCCGGAACGAAGTGACTGCTGCCGGCCAAGTACCAGAAATGTGTTGTGTTACAAAGTTGCAAGTCATTGTTTATTAGTGTTCAAAGTTAGTAACTGATCATACATACTTACTGGTCATAGATACTTACTGGTCAAAGATAATTAGTGGTCAAAGATAATTACTGTGCAGAGTTACTTACTGCTCATAGTTACTTAGTGTTCATAGAAGTTTACTGATTATAGTTAATTACTGGTCATAGTTAATTACTGATCATAGGCCTTTAAATCGTCCGATTGTTCCTATGTGAGCTATATATATATATATAGTCCACCGATTTGGCATGCTCCGATTTATAAACTTGTAAAAGTATATAGAAGATCAACTTCATAGTTTCATTCAAATAGCTTGCTCTTAAATTTGTTTCAAAACAAGTCTCGCACATCTGTAATTATGATTCCCAACTTGTTCTAACATCCCCGGAACGAAGTGACTGCTGCCGGCCAAGTACCAGAAATGTGTTGTGTTACAAAAGTTGCAAGTCATTGTTTATCAGTGTTCAAAGTTAGTAACTGATCATACATACTTACTGGTCATAGATACTTACTGGTCAAAGATAATTAGTGGTCAAAGATAATTACTGTGCAGAGTTACTTACTGCTCATAGTTACTTAGTGTTCATAGAAGTTTACTGATTATAGTTAATTACTGGTCATAGTTAATTACTGATCATAGGCCTTTAAATCGTCCGATTGTTCCTATGTGAGCTATATATATATATATATATATAGTCCACCGACTTGGCATGCTCCTATTTATAAACTTGTAAAAGTATATAGAAGATCAACTTCATAGTTTCATTCAAATAGCTTGCTCTTAAATTTGTTCCAAAACAAATCTCGCACATCTGTAATTATGATTCCCAACTTGTTCTAACATCCCCGGAACGAAGTGACTGCTGCCGGCCAAGTACCAGAAATGTGTTGTGTTACAAAGTTGCAAGTCATTGTTTATTAGTGTTCAAAGTTAGTAACTGATCATACATACTTACTGGTCATAGATACTTACTGGTCAAAGATAATTAGTGGTCAAAGATAATTACTGTGCAGAGTTACTTACTGCTCATAGTTACTTAGTGTTCATAGAAGTTTACTGATTATAGTTAATTACTGGTCATAGTTAATTACTGATCATAGTACTTTAAATCGTCCGATTGTTCCTATGTGAGCTATATATATATATATATATAGTCCACCGACTTGGCATGCTCCTATTTATAAACTTGTAAAAGTATATAGAAGATGAACTGCATAGTTTCATTCAAATAGCTTGCTCTTAAATTTGTTCCAAAACAAATCTCGCACATCTGTAATTATGATTCCCAACTTGTTCTAACATCCCCGGAACGAAGTGACTGCTGCCGGCCAAGTACCAGAAATGTGTTGTGTTACAAAAATTGCAAGTCATTTTTTATTAGTGTTCAAAGTTAGTAACTGATCATACATACTTACTGGTCAAAGATAATTACTGGTCAAAGATAATTACTGTGCAGAGTTGCTTACTGCTCATAGTTACTTAGTGTTCATAGAAGTTTACTTATCATAGTTAATTACTGGTCATAGTTAATTACTTATCATAGGTCTATAAATCGTCCGATTGTTCCTATGTGAGCTATATATATAGTCCACCGATTTGGCATGCTCCGATTTATAAACTTGTAAAAGTATATAGAAGATCAACTTCATAGTTTCATTCAAATAGCTAGCTCTTAAATTTGTTCCAAAACAAATCTCGCACATCTGTAATTATGATTCCCAACTTGTTCTAACATCCCCGGAACGAAGTGACTGCTGCGGGCCAAGTACCAGAAATGTGTTGTGTTACTAAAGTTGCAAGTCATTGCTTATTAGTGTTCATAGATACTTACTGGTCATTAATACTTACAGGTCATTAATACATACTTAATGGTCATAGATACTTCCTGGTCAAAGTTAGTTACTGATCATATTTTATTACTGAACATTTTTAGTTACTGGTTATAGCTACTTACTTGAATTTAATGTGGTTTTGGCTTAGTTATCATCAATAAAAAAATCCATGTGTGTTATTTAAAGCTAATTATTTCTTTGATAATTTTTATATTTTAAAAAGGTTTCAAAATATTCTGGTAGAGGCCACCTAAACTGACTAACGCCATCTGGAGTTAAATCGTGTACATCAGTAGATATATCGATAGTGACAATAAAACCTTTTGGAAGGCGCTTATATACGAAATTGTTTATTATATTAATTTGTAAATTAATTTTTATTTAAATTTTGGGTTCCACTGAGTCAGGCCATCCTGAAGTACAGGAGAATATTAATCTGGATGAAAATACTGGGTGCAAAAAGAAATATGCGCAAACACAATAATACTTTACCAACAGTCAATGGTCCAATTATTTACAATTTGTTTATCAACAATACATTTTATAAATAATTTACAATTTTAAGTACCAAGAGCGTCTTTCTTCAGCTTTGACCGCATTTCTGTGGTTAACAGAAACAGTGGACCGTGACCCGGCACTATAAAATCGCATATCTGAGCTATTTTGCTACGTTCCACGCGTTGACGCTTCTCATCCTCGCTCCCTGCGCCTTTCCAAATGCTCTCGTCATCCACGTCCTCGCGCCGCTCGAAGAGATCCCCCGTGATGCCCACCGTGCCAGCCAACTGGGAGTTCTTTACAACCACCGAAACGCAGCTCAGAGTGTGTCCTGGCGTCCGTTGGACCACCACCTCGCCATTGGAGTCTAGTGCCAGCAGCTCGTCTTCCTGTTCGCTTCCAAAGTGATCCATGTAGAGATCGCGATGCGACGCACACGCTCCGACCAGGTGCATGCGCGCTTCCTGGAAAAGGTAGTTGCAACCGATGTGATCCGAATGACCGTGCGTGCAGACCACCACATGGATGTCACCAACGCCCAGTCCCTGATCCGACAAAAGAGAGCGCAGGAGTTCTCCATCCCAGGCAGTCATTGTGTCCACCAAGATGTTGGTGCCATCCCGACAGCGGACCAGAGTACAGGTGCAATTTGCCCTCATGGCTGTGCCCTCCTCGCGGGAGTATCCAGTGTGAAGAACGACCACCTGATTTCGAGGCGCAGGATCTTCGAAAGCCATTATTTACGTTTGTTTTAAATAAATTAATTTCTCAATAACTCCCATCGTGATATGGATTATCGATACCGTACAATATCGATATTTCGATGTTGTATCGATCCCACACCCACTACTAGTTTTGTTTTTGTGTTCTCATTGCCGCTTTTAACAATAGTTTTGGAAGCCTTTATTTAAAACGTTGTTTTAAATTAAATAATAATTTCTTAAAAGCTCATAACATCGTGATGTGGATTATATCGATACTGTGCAGTATCGGCATATCGATGTTGTATCGATCCCACACCCATCACTAGTTCTGATTTTGTGTTTTTATTGGCGCGTTTTTTTTACAAGAGTTTTGGAAGGCTTTTTGCCCCATAATTGTGCAATACAAAAGCTGCGAGTGCTGATCCACAGCTGCCACGCACCATGGACAAGTTCCTGCACCGCAATCCGACGTGGAAGACGAAGACGTACGGCTCGATCGTAGCGAGCGCCGCAAACAAGAAGCCATCGGCCTCTTCTACGGCGGCGTCACAACGCCGGCCGTTGCAAGACTCAAATGTGGCGGAGTCCCACTGGCTTCCAACCAAATCTCAATCTCAAAGTTCGGCAGGTTGGCTATGCTTTACTTTTTAAGAGTAGATCGGCTTAACCTTTCGGATGCTTCGTTAATCCAAAATTTTTAGTTTTAGAAAAAAAGAATACAAAAAAAAAAGTTAGATCAAAACGCAATGTGGAGCAGCGATGCAGAAGTAGTTAATCAGTTTTATTCTCTTTGGAAAGCCGACCTGCAGGCCAGGACCGGCGAAAAGGTTCATCCCTCGACCTCCACCAATACTGGACTGCATTCGGCCGCCTCCAAGGCGATCGCTCAATATCGCTCCGAATTGAAGGAAGATTCGCAGACTATGACCACGGCAGGGGCAGAGGCAAGGACACCGAAACACCGAAAACAAGCAAGCGAAGCTCCATCTCACGGCAGCACTACGCCCTCCAAACAGAACTCGCAATTTATGCGCATGCAGCAAGATCTCAACAGTCCCAGCGCTGCGCTGCGTCTGCGCGCCCTGCGAGCCTTGAAGTAAGCTGAAAATACGGATAATTCTAATGAAGAGTCCCCTCACTCTTAAACCCCGGAGGGTACCAGAAACCCTTGCTAATAACTTCAAATTTTTTAATCCATTCAGATACGTCCCAGAATCTCATTTATATTTTTTCTTTAGAAAATGTATAGTTTTAAATACGCTTCAAACCTTTTTAGGAGTCCCACAAAGAGTGCCTATAACAACTTTGATGTGTCCCATACCGAGCATAGTATAATTACCACGGAGGAGCGGAATCCCAAAGAGCCACCCACTCTGCCCGAACTGCTGAAGGATGTGGTTATCTATGTAGAGGTTCGCACGGGCAACGATAATCGTTCCGACGGTGTAAGGACTGTTATTGCCAAGATGGGAGCCCAGGTCAACGATCGCCTTAGGCGGTAGGTAATCCTCTTCGGTTGATAAAGTAGAACCTCTTACTGAAGTCTTATTTTTATCTTATTTTATAGCAACACCACCCATGTGGTCTTCAAAGACGGCCTACTCTCAACCTACAAGAAGGCCATGGAGTGGCAGATACCAGTTGTGTCGATATTGTGGATTGAGGCATGCAAGGTGCAGCGCAAGCTCTGTGATCCCAGCCAGTTTCCCATCAGCAATATACACAAGTACGAGTATCCAGAGCTCTTCGGCAAGATACCGGTGAGTAATGTTTGCTTGTTATGGTGGGGTCAACCTTCTAGCTGGTTATTATTCATATTTTAATACGTTTAGACGTATATATAGAAAGAAAGGCGAGGTTTCTGAACTAGGAGATTTATAATTGCATAAAAAGTAGAAAACCGCTTTGGGATTCTAAGGAATGAGATCTTTCCTAATTGAAACATCAATTAATAAATAATATTTATCTGTATAAAGAACCCTTAAGTTAGGCAGATACTTAATAATTCGTATCACAAGCCTACAACGCTTCCAACCCTATCTACATTTCAAAGATGGTATCATTCCGGTGTACAAATTCATCAACTCCACTTGAGATATGCCTTGGAAATTGGATGTGTTCTTGACTAACACATATTTTTCCAGACAAAAATAGAAGAGTAAGAAAAGAAATATGAAAAGCCTTTAATGAGTGTAATCGGTGGCATTATCAATTTATGGCTCTGCGCCGGCACAGAAGCATTAACTCTACTCGAGATATGCCCCCCATTAATGGGTCATTGATGGCTCAAAATTTTATTATTTTATTGGGCGCATAAACTTAAAGTAAGAGTATGGAAATTTAACCATAGATAACCGCCAAGAAGGGACTCTTATCGATTACCTCCTTTCCTCTTGATGTTCACGATGGGTGCCGTGGGTGGTGGACTCTTGACCATGGCCACTTGTGAGCCGAAATGATTAGTTAATCCAAAAAATGGCGAGCACGAAACGCTGTGCCGCGGGCCGTCTGAAATTGCACGTATCTCAAACACAAAATACGCGCAATATTGGGAACTCTTTCGTGTCGGACAGATTCTTATCATAGGCTGACAGCAAGTCAACTGGCTGGTTGGTCCGCGTTATCTAATTCAATTTGCTTGCGCTTATCAGGTATCGTAGGGCCTCGGGTACGGCCAGGAAGTTGTCCGGACGAGGCCGGCGCGCTGTCCGCGAACGGGGAATGAGAGTAGTGGAGACGAGTGATGCTCATTTGAATGCGATTCGTATTTATTGCTTAAACATTAGACTGTTTAAAAAGAGACGACAACAAGCCACTGGACGCCGGTGACAACTTAAAACCTAATTCACATGCACGTTTGTTTACAATCTTTCCGAGAAGCAGGGCTTCTCTGGTCATTTACATAACTCGCTGGGAATACACAGATGCACCGATGCCATTGCGGCACCGCAGTTGTCAAGCTTCTTTTTTTTCTATAAAACTTACTCTCTATGTTAGAATAATTAGATTCTCGTATGGGTGTGGGCTCCGGTTAATGCCGCCTGCTAGCCAGACGCTTCTGGTTCTGAGATTTGTACAATGCCCGCTTATATTTACAAGCCAGAAGTTTGCGTTAAGTACAATGGAATCCTTCAGTTTACACTAGTTAGTGGTTTGTGAGTTCTGCGAGGCGGGCGAAATGGTGCCGGTGGCTCCTCACGACAACGCCACCTCCAGGCACATCATTATCAGGAAGCCGGAGACCGTGCCCCATGTGGCAATCGTTCCATTTCCGCTGGCATGCGCCTCCGGCAGAATGTCGTCCGACACAATGTAGATCATAGCTCCAGCCGCAAAGGACAACGCGTAGGGCAGAATTAGGTTGGCAAAAGTCACGGCCACAGCGCCCAACACTCCGAAAATAGGCTCCACCATGCCGGATAGTTGTCCGTACCACAGGGCCCGTCCCACGCTAAATCCGGCAGCGTGCAGGGGCAGGCTGACGGCCAGTCCCTCGGGGAAGTTCTGAATGCCAATGCCAATAGCCAGGTTGCGTGCGCTCTCAAATGTCGAAGAGTTGGTGGTGCCAATAGCTCCGAAGCTAACGCCCACGGCCAATCCCTCGGGTATGTTGTGCACAGTAATGGCCACCACCAGCAGCATGATGCGTTTCCACTGTGACAGCGCTTCTGCTGCGCGCTGCTGCTCCTCGGGCGTGGTGTAGGTGCACTGCTCCATCTCGTTGATGCTGCCGCCCTTCTTGCGACGCCGCGACTCCCCACTGTGCTGCACGCTCAGGCAGTCCGAGAAGCTGTCCAGGCTCTTGGAGGCCAGTCGGTCTGTGCCGCCATTGCGCTTGAGGTCATCAATAGCTATGTCCGCCTTGTCCTTGTTCGTCTGCGTCATCTGGATCATCATGTTGGTGCTGTTGAGGCCCAGATACGACATCAGCTTGTCGCATCCGTACACAAAAATGGATCCCAGCAGAAATCCTCCGGCCACGGGCAGGAAAGCGTAGACCCCGTAGAGGTGAGAGCCCTCCGCCATTTCAATGGCTGGCTTCAGCAGAGACCAGAAGGAAGCCGCAATCATAACTCCCGCTGCGAATCCCAGAGCCGCGTCTAGTGACCTCCGCTGGTTGCCACGGACGAAGATCACCAATGCGGCGCCAGCGGCCGTCAGGCCCCAGGTGAGCAGGGTGCCCAGCAGGGCCTGGGTCACGGGTCCGTAGCCTGGAATCATCTTTCAGCCTCTCGTGCTCGTCTCCGGCTGGTATCGCTTCCCAAAGACTTATTTTCGCGTGTGCGGGGTGGGAACAAGTTTCTTAATTGTTTACTCGTCGCTCCAACAGCAGATGCGCACTCAACCGAAGACGGGCGACAGGGCGAAATGTGCCACGTTCTTGGACACTGATTCCGGGTAAACAAACAGAAAACAGCTTTCAGCGGAGCTCGGTTTCGGTTTCTGTTTTGTTCTGGAATTCCCGACTGAAACACTTGTTGCTTATCGCCGCTCCGCGGTCCCTGCCGTCAGCGGAATGTGAAGAGAGTTCTACGTGTAAACGGAAATATTTGAAAACGCGTAATACTGTTTCGGTTGCTTAAATGCCTAAAGTTCTGCTGGAAAAGTGATGAAAAAGATGAATGAGCTGACAGCCCCACAAAAAGCTATTCTTATAGGGCCGCCGCAGTTATCGATAGATGTATCGCCGGCGTGTATCGACTAATCGATTTTAGAGATGGCACCGCTGAATCGATTATTAACGAATCGTTGAATTCAAACATTTCTTCAAACTATTTTAATTGAGCTTAATTAAGGTGAATATTTAAATGTATTTAGTGGCTATACTAAACTATCGAACGCTAGAACCATATTCAGCCATCTCAAACTTAACCAGGCCCATAGATAACAACGTTTTTTTATTTGAACAACGGGCAAGATATCACGTAGTTATAAACAAATAAAACAGTGTTTTCTAGTCAACATGACTGACAGAGTCGGGCAAAAAGTCAGCAGCATCCGCAGCAGTACAACCAACAATAACACCAAAGGGCATGAGCTACACACCATTAATTTTCACATCTTAAATCCTAAACAACCATTTGTTGCAGCGCGTTCGCTGTATGCCAACGGACTATGAGTTGAAGAACTGGGTGCCAAAGCGCCAGGGAACGCCCAAATCCTCGAAGGACACTGAGCTAGGATCGGGCAGTAAGAAAACTCAGCCGGCAACACCAACCACAACTCCTAAGGTGAGTATTTTTGGCTCTAGCCTAGCTTTATCCTGTTAATGTACTGCATTTTTCAAGAGTTTATATTTATACTTGAAAATATATACAAAACTAATTTTCTTAGCTTCTTTCTAAAATAGCATTTAAATATGTATAGGAATAATATCTAGGTTTATTTATTCCTTGCAGAATGACATAAGTCGCTTTTTCCGAGCCCTCAGCCACAAGAAAACTGTTGATGATGAGACTACAGAGTCGCCAGCGACCACACTACTCAACAGGTGAGTGAATATTCCCCTAGGTAACTGTATTATTAACAAAATATATTCATTTGTAACAGAATTAGCAGTGGTTCCTACACTCCATTGCCGGCACCAGCAACTACACAGCGAAAGGACACCAGCAATGGCAGTGGTGATGCTGTGGCCGCAAGGAATCTGCAGGCTCAAAGAAGCCTTAGTTTCACCGAGAACCCAAACAGCAATACACCATCAACCACTTCGAGACCGCCACGAAGGAGTACAGTGGAACCAACTCCGGTTACGACAACGCCGCCAGTGCGCACCAGTCGGCGCCGAAGCTGTGCAGCGGATTACAGCAGCCAGCCGCCAACGACGGAACCCCGTATGACTCGTCGCAGAAGTTCGCTCCTAATTAATTCAGTTACGGAAGAAGCTGATGATCTGCCAGAACCAGTCTTAGAGCCCCGAATGACTCGCCGCCGGAGCTCTTTGAATCTAGCTTTGAAACCGCCAGGGGATTCAACTCCGAAGCAAACCATCGAAACCATTTCAGAAGAGCTGGCTCCTACTGAAGAGGACAATAACTCAATTGTGATGGAGGAGACCATCAAGGTGGCCCAAATAACGAATTGCGTAGAGCAGTCATTAGAGATAAGTGCGGAGCAGGCAGAGGTTTCCCACATAGCAGACAGACGAGGAACCCTTTACGCTTCGGAAACAATGGATATTACAGCTCCTTGCCGCCGCAGTATAGCCACCTCGACTACCATGCTTAGATATGATATTTACGGAGGAATTGGTAGTCCCTCGCTGCATAATGAAAACTCCACCATGGAGGAGCCACTGACTCCGATATTTAGTTCGACGCGTTTGCCGGGCGTAAAGTCCACTGGAAATCGCAGGCGCACCCTATTTAACATTGACCTGAATGTGGTAAATGAGAATATCGAACGGATGAACGAATCACATCGCAGATCTCTTGCTTTAGCCAATGAAGCAGAGCTGGGCGAATGTCGTGTAGTTCCCGATGTGGAGCCACAGCCGGTAACAGAGACGCCATTGACCGAACCCAAAAGACGTCGGCTTTTCAATCCCAATGACGAGGTGGTCATTTCACCGCCAAAGAGCTCCAGGAAAAGGATGAGCATGAGTGGATCGACGGGATCAGTGCAAAAGCGGCGTCGATCGATGGCTGTGATTCCCAGCACTACGGAGATAACAACGGAAACACCTGCTCCAAACGTTGCTGCCAGCGATGTCATCACGCCCTTGCCAGAAGAGCCTGAGGAAACTAATGAAGAATTTCTGACTCCCAAGTCTTCAATGGATGCACTTCCTGGCGTAGAAGATGTTTCCACACCCAGTACTGAAGCAACTCCGTCAAAGTCTAGCAAGCCACGTGCACGCATACGCACTCTGGTGCACACTAATATGCACCAGGAGCAGATCCTGGTCATCCGCAAGGTTGGTAACACGGCGCAGTGAGAACGTCATCCACCACCATCGTCCCACTGTAGCTGTCGTAGCCTCCAAACCTCGTTATAGTTATAAATTAGTTACATAGTAATCCGTTTTAGTTTTCAAATTTACATATTTGCGACTCCATATTAATTATTGATTAAGCATAAACAACACTCGGTAGATTGGTAGCAGCAGTTCCTCTCCTCCTTCTGTAAAGCCCCACACGGCACAAAAACGAATAAACTGTATATCCCCCTCATTGGCGGCCATGAAACCTAATCGAAAACAACCGCCTTAAATCAATCCCCCATCCCAGGCCCTGCGCAAGTTGCGGGGAATGCGACTGGATCCGACCGTTACCCAACGCACCACCCACCTGGTTAGCCTGGAGCCGCGCCGTACCCTGAACCTCCTGCGTGGCCTGATGCGCGGCGTCTGGATCGTTAACTACCAATGGGTGCTGGCATCGATGCGGGCCGGTAAATGGGTCAATGAAGAGCCCTACGAACTGAAAAGGTTCTCCCGTGCCATCGAGGTGAGTGGTATCCTGTCGTCTTCCATTAAACCACTCCTGATCTTCATCGATTTCTTTCAGATCTGTCGCACCGAGCGCCAGGCCTTTGGCATTCACTACCACTGCGAGTTGTTTCGCTTCATGCAGCCCTTCTATGTATCATCCCTGTGCCGGCCCATTCAGTTCAACAACATAAAGGAGCTGCTTCTGTTGGGTGGTGCCAAGCTGACGGAGAATCGCTTCAAGGCCAAGTACGTCATTGGGGACAAGCGTCGGGCCGAGGACGACCGCCTGTATCTGTCGCCCTTATGGGTCCTGGACAGCATTACCAACATGCAGATCCAGAAATTCGGAAGATATTTGATGAAGAGCGCCATCGTCACGCCGGAAGGCATACAGTACGAGTGCGCGAAAGATCGCGAGATGGCAGAAAAGTCGCACAAACACGATTTTATTGATCCACCTTTCATTATGGATAAATAGATGTGGGTCCACCCCATCTTTTTTTGTGTTTTAGTGCAGGAAGCAACCCAAAATGGATTTAACTATTATTCAAAAATGTTTCTATTTTTTCTGTTCAAAAGTACTACTTCGACTGTGTAAATATATTTGATTTATAACATAGTCTGATTTGATTTGATTTATGTATGTATATATAAGTTTTGCTTATTGTATATCTTTTTAAATCCGTTTTTAATTAAAGTTAGTCTATGAATTTAAATATATAGAGAAAAATTAAATACATACACTTCCTCTATAAAAATTGGAAACTCGAAGTATCCTTGAAAGTCCTTTTGAATTCATCCGAAATAACCTAATTCATCACAATAAAATTTTAATTTTTTTTAAATATAAATTTAGTATGCAGATTTATAAACACCTTAAAAACTAGCATAGGAAAGCTTTCCAAATTAAAATTAATCCTTTTTTGGCTGTTATGGCTTTTTTAAACTCTGATTTTACCCAAATTAAAAGAACCATAAATATAGATTCAAAAAATACGATTCGATTTGGTATATAAACTTTGCCTTCCCCAAATTAGTTTACTTTTTGGTTTAAATTGCTTTCAAAACCTAATCCCAATCCCCCATATTAAACGCATCCTCAAATGCCTTCTCGGTTGCAAAAGATCGCTTTATTCAGACGATTTGAGGTATTTGTTGTCAGTTTTCAAGGGTTGTACTCTTCAACTTGCTATCTTTGTACTTTGTGGCATACCGGCGATAAGGTGCGTCTCAGTGAGCTAAATGCAGTTGGGCTTGGGCTTGGACTGGAACGCGATGAAGTGATGTGAGATCAAGCGCTGAAAATCAAAAAGGCAAACAACCAAGGAAATGGTGCTTAAATGGCTTTTGGAAAAACGAAACAAATACAAAAATAGGGGTTTTTATTTTTTGTTTTTGTAAATAAAGTTATCGCATCTATTCTGGTTCTTTTTCTTGTGTACAAAGTAGTGTGTGTGCAAAATAGGGTAAGATAAATGATACATATCAAAATTAAAAGGTTAATTTAAACGATAAATAAATGCTACAGAGGATATCCAAACATGATACAATAATGAAGTCAACTTCTCATCATATCATATGTAGTAAACTAAAGATCGACGGGGGAGATGATGGAGGAGTGGTCGTGTTTCTCAGTGTGCACTCAATCCGGGGTATCCACCTATCCAGCGCCTTGTTAGGCGGCCTCGACTGCATTTAACATTCGTATCCGACGAAACTCCTTTCGATGGAAGAAATTAAACTTTTGTTTTTGCTGGAACATCATCTTATCGGTCATCTTGCGCAGAACTGGTGGTGTTGTTGCTGCTGATGTTGTTGTTGGACTACTATTGTGCTGGCTGCTTTTGCTGCTATTTTTGAGTGGTGGTTGCTGCATTAGGATGGTGATTACTTGCTTGCTGCTGCTGCTATCGCTGCTGCGTATTGTGGCTGATCTGAAGCAAACTTGCTACTTCTTGCCCTTGGTGGCCTTCTCGGCGGCCTTGGTGACCTTGCCACCGGAAGCGTCCTTGAAGTTGACGGACTTGATGACGCCGACAGCAACGGTCTGCCTCATGTCACGCACAGCGAAACGTCCCAGAGGGGGAACTCCTGGAAGGACTCCACGCACAGGGGCTTGGAGGGCACCAGGTTGACGATGGCAGCATCGCCAGACTTGATGAACTTGGGGTTCTCCTCAGTGGTCTTGCCGGAACGACGATCGACCTTCTCCTTGATCTCAGCGAACTTGCAAGCAATGTGAGCGGTGTGGCAATCCAGCACGGGGGTGTAGCCGTTGGCAATCTGGCCAGGGTGGTTCAACACGATGACCTGGGCGGTGAAGTCGGCGGCTCCCTTGGGGGGGGCGGCCTTGGAGTCACCAGCGACGTAGCCACGACGCAGCTCCTTGACGGACACGTTCTTGACGTTGAAGCCAACGTTGTCTCCGGGAACGGCCTCGGTGAGGGCCTCGTGGTGCATCTCCACGGACTTGACTTCAGTGGTGATGTTGGCCGGGGCGAAGACAACAACGGTGCCGGGCTTCAGCACACCAGTCTCCACACGACCGACGGGTACTGTTCCAATACCGCCAATTTTGTACACATCCTGAAGGGGCAGACGCAGGGCCTTGTCGGTGGGACGGGCAGGGGGCAGGATAGCGTCGAGGGCATCGATCAGGGTCTTGCCATCGGCGTTACCCTCCTTGCGCTCCACCTTCCATCCCTTGAACCAGTTCATGTTGGTAGAGGGTTCCAACATGTTGTCGCCGTGCCAGCCGGAGATGGGCACGAAGGCGACGGCGGCGGGGTTGTAGCCGATCTTCTTGATGTACGACGACACCTCCTTCTTGATTTCCTCGTAACGGGCCTCGCTGTACGGGGGCTCGGACGAGTCCATCTTGTTCACGCCGACAATCAGCTGCTTCACACCCAGGGTGAAGGCGAGCAGGGCGTGCTCGCGGGTCTGACCGTTCTTGGAGATGCCAGCCTCGAACTCACCGGTACCGGCGGCAACGATCAGCACAGCACAATCGGCCTGGGAGGTGCCAGTAATCATGTTCTTGATGAAATCCCTGTGGCCGGGGGCATCGATGATGGTCACGTAGTACTTGGCCGTCTCGAACTTCCACAGGGCGATATCGATGGTGATACCACGCTCACGCTCGGCCTTCAACTTATCCAAAACCCATGCGTACTTGAAGGAGCCCTTGCCCATCTCCTGGGCCTCCTTCTCGAACTTCTCGATGGTACGCTTGTCGATGCCACCGCACTTGTAGATCAAGTGGCCGGTGGTGGTCGACTTGCCGGAATCGACGTGTCCGATGACGACAATGTTAATGTGAATCTTTTCCTTGCCCATGTTGGATTACACGATGGCTGTTTCGTTTGAAGTGTATTGGTTGGTACAGGTGTGTGGGTTGGGCAGCGTGCGAGAGGGGGAGAGAACAAAGGGGTAGAACAATTTGTTAGCATTCGGTTAGGGTAACATTGCATTAATTACTATCAGTTAGCTGGAATACTTTTTACTGCTTTGCGCATATATATATTCGTACTTTTGACTTTTGTTTGCGTGCACTCAACCTAACCTCAAACCTGCCTCGCCGCACAAAACGTGTTTCGTTGTCGCTGTGTCGGCAGTTTGAGGTTAGGTTGAATGCGGCCGCATGTGTTGGTGGTGGAAAAGAAAGAGAGGGGAACAACTAATTGTTGGACCATGGCAACTAAATACAAGAAACGTGCAAAAAAAAAATAAATTCCTATGAAACTTGATTTTTTCAGAGATTTTGGTATTTGTGCTGTCGTCAAAATTCTTCAGTAGCAGAACTGTAAAATCATCATCATGAAAAATCAAGATATGCCGCAGGGAAAGTTCCAGCAAATTGTATATATCTTTTTCGCTAATTCATGTGCATATAGGCGCGTGGTTGTGTGTGTGTGTATGTATGACGCTGTTGCCGGCCGGAGGGAGAAAGATAGAGCGCGAGCAAAATGGCGGCGACCCAAATGTATGTGTGCGTGAACGATCTCGCCGCGGTGGCACATTGGAAAGGGAACAAGATCGAGAATAAAAAGTGCAGTGGGCGGCCATTTTGACCAAGCTAATTGGGAAATCTGAAGACTTGGGGGAAAATGTGTGAATTTCACAAGTCATGTCATTTTCGCGTGTTGCTAGGAAGACTTTTCGCCCACTTGAGTCACCGCTGCGGGTCGCCATTTTGAAATTCTCGCCACATACAGATGGAAATTCTATATGTAAACCACGTTTTTCTAACCACCGCAAGGCGGCTGAAAACCTTTTCAGACTTCTCCATTGCTAATTGGCACAACTGGTGGATGACCCCTGCCTGGAACGGCATGGCGTGGGCGTGGCAAATTAATTACACCACATGGCGGTGCGAAAATGCGTTTCTTCGAGCCGGAAAATTACTCGTAAACTGCGGCACGCCCAAATAAAAGGCACCAAGCAGATTATTTCGCATGTGCAGACTGCCACGTGTCGGCTTTTCGCATTGCCGGATGGCCACCGCAGCACCTTTCACTTCCGCGACCTCGCTAAATGTCCAAACACACACAACACGGCGAAATATGCACTTCCTCAGCGTCCAAAATGCATATTTGTTATTAACCAATTGCTGGCTGCACTCCGCTGCACCGATGCACTAATTCTTTATACATATATTTTCACTTTAGAAACTTACTCTATAAGTTGACGGGAAATCAAGCAACTGCGACGAAGATGGCGAACAAAGTGAACGAGAATCGGGAGGAGGAGAAGCAGGAAGTCTCGGTGGGAGGGAAAATCGGAGGACAATCGATTTTCGATTGCGTTATCGAATGCTCTGTTACTAACATTCTGCGTGTGACACATCTTTTAAGCCGTTCTACACGTTTACAGACACATGGAGTCATATTCTTACTTTTGGGATTGAATTCTAGCCTTTGGCGTAGAACTCTTGTACATGGGGTCGAATTCCCGGGTCAAATGTAAAATTCGTAACATGTCCCACTCTCTAACAGAACTCTGTTGAACTCTCAACTGTTGCCGTTGAATAAATGCCAAAATATATCGATAATTTTTGTTGTGTTTTTTGTTAATATTTTCTGGTTACCATGAATTCCGGAGCTGTTAGTTAACAATTTACACGTTTACAGATACATGTAGAAACATAATGTAAAATGCATAACAGAGAAGAGCGTATTTTAACAGAGCTCGCTTTAGGGTGCTATCGGGTGGCTGTAAACTAACAGAACTTTCTCGAATATATCGAATATATTTTTGGTACTTCTCGATAATTTTTCATTACGAATTCCGAAGCATTAACAATTTACACGTGTAAAAAAGAAGAATTTTACCAAGAAGGTAATAATATATGACAAACGCAATGTAGAAACTAAGCGTAAATTGTTTACAAGAGGAACTTGAATTTTATTGCCTAATTATTAAAAACATAGGGACCGAATAAAATAACTAAAAATAAACCCTTGCAAAGTTTGTACAAATTAACATTATGTTGAAAAACGACGAACTACATTAAATTCCAATTTCTTATCATTGAACAATAAAACGGAAAATTGACCTTTTTAATTCTCTGCGAAGTAATTTATATAAACATATTTATTTATACTAAAAAAATTTCATTCAATTAAAAAAGTATATATTGTTGTTGTCACAAATGCGATTTTGCTAAAATATGCCAGATGACTATTAAGAAAACTACTTATAATACTGTAAACTTATTGCACATTTTAGGGTACTATCGATTACACTTTATTTAAGCATTAAATTTGTTATTTTAAACACTTGCAATGATTTAACTTTATACAAAAATCACAAACAAAAAAACTACACAATTTGTATAACCATAAAACTGTATATTTTTAATCAACTTTTGTATACCACACTATCACTAATCTTCAATATATTCATTTTACCACAGTTTAATTTTGTATAATTTAATGGATTTTTTTTTATTAAAAACTAATAACAAAAACACCAACACTCACTTTTTTGTTCCATACTAATAAAAAATAAGTATGAATTGTTTCCTTTTATAAGCTGGCAATCTAAAGCTTTTGTCTGTATTTTATAATTTTGTGAAATTAATTTCATAATACTTGGGATAATAATTATTGCTGATATTGATGACAAATGTTGATAACATTATTGATAAGATTGTTGTTGTGTTCATCCCTGGAACTTGTGCAATTAATTATATTAATAAATCACAAAGTTATAAAATATCTTTTAATATCAGAACAAATTTGCATTAATTAATAAAACAATACATTACAATATTAATTACATTTCATTACAAATGTAATAAGCTTTCCATTAATTACAATGATTACAAAGCTTTTCAACATTCCCGCACTGCCCGCGCCTGGCCACACTGCACCGAAACAACGAATAGAAAGCGACGTGGCGAAAGAATCGAAAAGCAAAATCAATCGTCGAAAAAACTTTTACCGGTCCGGTTCCAAGCTTTTGTTGTAGTGTTTTTAGTAGGCGGTCGACTGCCACTTGAATTTAAAATTGTATTTAGTTGAGATTCGTCTGAAATCAATATGTGGCGTCTGACTGCAGCGGCCCTGCTCCTCGTCAGCTTCATTGCCGCCTCGACCGGCGCGGAACAGGATGTGCTGGAGCTGGGAGACGACGACTTCGCCACCACCCTGAAACAGCATGAAACCACCTTGGTTATGTTCTATGCCCCCTGGTAAGTATGTGGACGGGAGGTAGGGGCGTTGGTAATGGTATTTGCATTGCGTGTGCAATTCGGCCGTAATCAGCTTGTTGCGTCCGCAATTTAATTGAATTCCGGAGCTGCTTGCAAAGTACACGTCAGCGTTTGCCGGTAAAAGGGAAGAAAAAGAGGAAGAGAACCACAAAGATGAGTTGTCAGTGTTGTTGGCGTCGGCCATTTTAAAGAGCGGGTTGTTAATTTCGTGCAGTCGTACATCTTTACAGTTAGTAGAGTATATGCGGAAAGATAATGATGATAAGTATGTACATGGATATATCCTTCTCTGTAATCTGGTGACTGCCGCTATTTTAACCCTTTCATGATATGTACTTGTAGTTGTGCGCCAAACTTGTTTTCTTAGCTCTCCCCCCGCTCGACTAGATTTATTATTTACTCATGCGAGAAGTATGTATGTTTGTCGTTTATCTAACGAAAAGCTAACAACTCACACTTGGGCACTGAACTAAGTAAATAATCTGTTTTTTTTTATGCCGGCCGGCGAGGGAGCTCTCGAGATCCCCAAAGAGCTATTACAACTACTTTTGGGTGAAATTATAATACGCGAACCATAAACCTTATCGGCAGAGGCAACATAAAAAATTCAGTAGGCTAGAGGAATTATTTTAATTAATGAATAGTCCCTTGGTTTTAAATAAAAAATTAATATAAAAAATTGTCTACGTCACTAGGATTATCTTTGTTTATTAATTTCACATTTTTTTCAATTTTAAAACCTCATTTTCTCAATTTAAAGATTACAATTAAGAGCGATCTACACTTCGCATGGAGGCTTAATGGTATATTGTTCCTAATGTTAGAATGAGCGATAGATAAGGCTGTTTGCTGATAAGTCCCGCACCCTAACTTTAATTACTAGCTAGTTTTTCTTTTTCGGGGATGTTGGCTCTGCCCAAGTTGTGTCGTCTTGATAAAGAATGATGTATTAGAAAGTAGTTTGTGGACGTGCACAAAAAATATGATGATGTGACGTGTCTTGACCAATTTTTTCTCTTTGACTACTTTAAGGTGCGGCCATTGTAAGCGTTTGAAGCCCGAGTACGCCAAGGCGGCAGAGATCGTCAAGGACGATGATCCGCCAATCAAACTGGCCAAGGTTGACTGTACTGAGGCTGGCAAGGAGGTCTGCAGCAAGTACTCCGTCAGCGGTTATCCCACGCTGAAGATCTTCCGTCAGGACGAGGTGTCGCAGGACTACAATGGACCGCGCGAGGCCGCTGGCATTGCCAAGTACATGCGCGCCCAGGTGGGACCTGCCTCCAAGACAATCCGCAACGTTGCCGAGCTGGCCAAGTTCCTGGATACCAAGGACACGTCTCTGTTTGGTTACTTTAGCGACGTTGATTCCAAGTTGGCCAAGGTCTTTTTAAAGTTTGCCGACAAGAATCGCGAAAAGTACCGATTCGGACACTCCAGCGATGCCGAAGTCCTGAAAAAGCAGGGTGAAACGTAAGTGGAGAGGTTAGCCTCTTTTCGAGGCTCTATATATTTTCTATAATTATATACGATTACCCCCATCTTTTGCAGAGATGCTATTGTCCTGATCCGTGCCCCTCATCTGAGCAACAAGTTCGAGTCCTCCACCATCAAGTTTGAGGGCAGCTCCGACTCTGATCTCACCACTTTCGTCAAGGAGAACTTGTAAGTGCCCAGGAGGCCATTCTGTTCGATCAGGCACTAATAAATACCTCTTTAGCCATGGACTGGTGGGACACCGCACTCAGGATTCGGTTCGCGACTTCCAGAACCCTCTGATCACTGCTTACTTCAGCGTTGACTACCAGAAGAACCCCAAGGGTACCAACTACTGGCGCAACCGTGTCCTCAAGGTGGCCAAGGAGTTTGTGGGTCAGATTAACTTTGCCATCGCTTCCAAGGATGATTTCCAGCACGAGCTGAACGAGTACGGCTACGATTTCGTTGGAGACAAGCCCGTTATCCTAGCTCGCGATGAAAAGAATCTCAAGTACGCCCTGAAGGACGAGTTCTCCGTTGAGAATCTGCAGGACTTTGTGGAGAAGCTGCTGGCCAAGGAGTTGGAGCCATACATCAAGAGCGAAGCCGTACCCGAGTCGAACGATGCCCCCGTCAAGGTGGCCGTGGCAAAGAACTTTGACGAGCTTGTGATCAACAACGGCAAGGACACGTTGATCGAGTTCTACGCCCCCTGGTGCGGTCACTGCAAGAAGCTGACCCCCATCTACGAGGAGTTGGCCGAAAAGCTGCAAGACGAGGAAGTTGCCATCGTGAAGATGGACGCCACTGCCAACGATGTGCCGCCAGAGTTCAACGTGCGCGGCTTCCCCACCCTCTTCTGGCTGCCCAAGGATGCCAAGAACAAGCCGGTGAGCTACAACGGCGGACGGGAAGTCGATGACTTCCTTAAGTACATCGCCAAGGAGGCGACCACAGAACTGAAGGGCTTTGATCGCAGCGGTAAGCCCAAGAAGACCGAGCTGTAAGCTGCACGCACGCCAACTAAAGCATTTCCATATTTTTGTAAAATCGAATGCATTCTCTTAACATACTTGAGCGGAAAATTGTATTAAATTATTTGATAGTGATGAACGCGTATGAACACAAATTGATGATTATGTCGCAATAAACTTAAATCTTCATTTAATAACTCTAACAAATACACAAGTGATTGGTGTACTCTTATAAAATATTCATTGTATCCGGCATGTACACAAGGTGTTCGTCCAGATTCATGGGAAACCAGTCCCCCAGAAACGTGTGCGCGTTAAGTCCCTCGAACACCTCGTAGGCCACCTCTCCCAGCTTGGCATCGAACTCGAACAGATACACGGTGTTAAGGCAGTCAATTTTGGCCATGATTTGGGTGATGCATCCGAGCAGGCGCACCATGAAGTTGGCGCAGACATTGGTGCTCCATTCGTTCTCCTGTAAGTATGAAACTAAGTTGTAATATAATACATTTTACAAAACATCTATACTTACGCAAGACTTCCACAAATCCCGCAAGGACGTCTTCTTAATGGTGTTCACACAGCCATTTTCGTTCTGATAGGCTACAAAAAAGTTCTGGATGTTAAGCAGGAAGCACTTGCACCACCATTTAATCGCTTCAGTGCGGTTATGCTCCGCCCACTCCAAACGATTCATATTATCCTGGCGCAGCTGCAGCTCCGACCAATTATGCCCGGGTCCATTGCTACGGGAAAGGAAGAGCAATTCAAGTTTCAAAGGATTTGATATTGTAGCTTTCGTTGGGACTCACAACTGGTTGGTACAAATCTCGGCCAGGACTGGGGAATCGAATAGAACACGGTGGCCGTTCATGTTGATTGAAAATACGCCATTGAAGCGGTCAGGTTCCTCGCATAATAATATCCCATCGGGCAGTACGAGTCCATTTTCTGTAAAAGAAAACTATATTTACTCTCCGTACTTCCTGACAATACCAGAACCTACCGGACAGGCAGTACTGGCGCAGCTTCCTTAGACGCGCCTCCTGCATGATCCGCCTCAGATTATGCTCTTCGAAGGCGTCCTCGGCCTGCGGACTGGGCACGCGACAAATATATGTAGTGTTGCGATACCGGCTTACCGCCAGTGTCCATCCTGACTTGTGCTCGTACGGAGCGCGCATCATTAGCTCCAAAACCTCGCTGGTGCACACAATGTCTACATTTAATTCCACCCGCATGTTGGTCGCCCTCAGTAAGTTGGACTGCGGCAAGGACTGAACTATATACTCCAACAAGTTGTCCAGGATCCTTTCCGATGGCTTTGCATTCTTGGTGTGATCGCTGTCTCGCAGGAAAAGAGGAAAGTTCTGGGCTGACGGCACCACAATGTAGCGCATTCGGCGCATATGGTTTTCAAAGAAGCCCAGTGGCGACAGACTATATCCACCGTGCGACTCGGGCATTGTAAAGGTCGGGAACTGGCCCTTGTCCTCCGCCGAAATTACGTGAGCGTTAAGATTAAGTATGTTTCGTTGGATTGAAAACATCTTAATTCTTTAATTTCGAAAATTAAGTTGATCGTTTGTTTTCCTTTTACAAGAACCGTTGGTTTGCGCTTAACAGCACATTTTCTGGGCCTAACATAGTGCTGTTAAGAAATACAACTTTTCGAATTCGAAAAATGAGAAAAAAAAACAGTTTCGAATACAGACAAAAAATTAGGTGTATCTAGGCCTTTATTTTGTGTTTAAAAATAATAATAACAATGGGACTAGAATATCAAATAATTTCTTTATATATAATTGGTTTAATAGTATTAATATATAATATTCAAAATGTAATATATTTAAATATTAAATAAAATTTAAATCATATTTCGTTTATTCAAACCATTTTTAGAATGCTACTAATATTTCAATTTAATGTTATTATAATTATATTGTTATTATTATGTTGTATTACCTCACATGCCTAGTTTTCAGTGTAGCACCTAAAATTGCCCAAGCAAAAACAAAATAATACAAAAATTTCCCAAAACAAGAACACAATGCAAAACCGGCCGGCAAAAAATGTAAACAAGCCGCCTGTGATGCCAGACAAGCGAAACCAGATGATTCCACCAGCTAGCCGGCAACGCCGTCGTGAGTGCTGCACGTGTTTTAAATTCGCGTGTTTTGGTTGTGGTCGCTCTTCATTTCGGGACGTTGTGCTGCAATTTAACGATAAACAGTGGATAGCTGATTGAAATATTATTAAAATTACGACTAAACAGTGCCGGGAGAGATGGAGGTAAACGCCAGCAAGCTGCGGCTTGGCGCCCAGCGACTGCTTCAGCTAACGGCGAAGGAGCCGCAAGACAACGTGTTTTCCGCAAGCCTACAAAAGTTTATCAAGAAGCAGGTGAGTTTTTCTTTACTGTTATCTACGAATCCCCTTTTACTATGCGTTGGATGCGCTGCAGAAATATGTGCTCCAGGATGTGGAGCGCCTGTTCCGCGGGCTCAGTGAACAGCTGCCGCTGGCCGCCTACACGGTGCCCGTGGCTGTGTGCTTCGAGGAGCAGTTGCTGCTGCTGCTCTCCATGGCCCTGCGCTGGGACGCTGCGGCTGGCCAGAGTTTCCGGCTGTATCAGCAGGAGTGTGCCGCTCTGGCCAAGCTCATGGACTTCTCGGTGGATGCGCAAAGGTAATTTCTCTGCTGTTCAGACTTTTGGTTTACTTATGAAAAACTCTTGTTTGCGTAGATTTGCCAAGAGCTACTTCCGTGGAAAGCCGGCGCCCTTTGAGGAAAGTCAGAGCAATGATAGTTTGTCCAGCAAAAAGTTGAAGAATGGCAAAAGCACAAAGTATCCAGAGGACTTGGAGCTCATCGCATGCTGCTATCAGTTACTAAAAAGTGACACCCCCTACTTCCGCGAACTGTGGGACTGGTCCAGCTTTATTTCCACCTATGCACACTCCCATCCATCCTGTCCGAAGACGCAACTATACTGCAACCATATCATGGCCATGCTCACAAGCATGACTGCTCCCCAGCTGAACGCCCTGAATGACAAGGTCCCCACCGAAACGCGCTTGGAATTCGACGGGGAGAGGGATCAGGTATGGCTGACTGCCAGGAACACTGGCAACCACAGCTATAGTCCAGATGCTGCCGATCAATTGCTGAACCTGCAGCTGGAGGGGATCACTCAGGATGTGACCAACATCGAGGGAGTTCTGCTGCCCACATTCAACAAGGAGAATCTGGAGTTCTATGCCAGTACCGATGGCTGCTACGATCGTATTGTGAAGGTGGACTCAACGGTGGTAAACCTGCGAAGCATTGCTCTTGGCGTGGCAGCTGCCAAGCCCATTTGCTTATCTGGACCCGTGGGCTGCGGCAAAACGACGCTCATTGAGTTTCTAGCCCGCAAAACTGGACGCATTTGTCCCAAGCCGAAGGAGATTGAGAACAGAGAAAAGGCTTTAAAGAAAGCTGAGGAAGAGGACCAGCTACTGATACCGAAGAAAAAGAACTCAAAGAAAACGGGCAGCAAGCGCAAATTCGAGGATATGAAGTTGGAAGAGCTCCTCGATCTGGGAGAAGCGACGCAAAATAATGGCTTTCTACGAATCCAACTGGGGGATCAGACTGATAGCAAAATGCTGTTGGGTCAATATCGATGCACCGATGTGCCAGGTGAATTTGTCTGGCTTCCGGGAGTTTTGACGCAGGTAATTACTTTCAGAATGCAGACTAGAACCATTTAACTAATATGAATTTCATTGCAGGCCGTCATGCATGGCTATTGGCTGCTCCTGGAGGACCTGGATGCCGCCGCCCAAGACACATACACTATTTTAAGCAGTCTTTTGGAGCGTCAGAGTCTCAGTGTTCCCGGCTTCCGCGATGCCGTGAAAATAGAGCCAGGATTCCAACTGTTTGTCACAGTGAGGTAAGTGATCTCCCCCTCTGCCACATGTTATTCTTTCTAAACAGATTTGTCTCCACCCCTAGAACCAACAAATCAGCCAGCAATTCCAGCGCAAAATCCCTCTACTCCCTCCTGGATAAATATCTGTACACTATAAATATACTACCGCTCTCACGGAACGAGCTCTGCAAGGTCGTCAGCACCAACTATCCCAAACTGTCCACAGTGGCTAATCGTATCGTGGACGTGTTCCTCACCTTCTCCAGCGGTGATCACACATCCGCAGATAATTTGAGGAAGCAGGAATCTGGCGACAAGGCTGACAACACGGAGAATTACGTGGCCTTGCCTTTCGAACAGGTCTCGCTTAGTTCGTCCAGTCCCAATTCCGGTCGATTGGTATCCACGCGTGATCTGGTGAAGCTGTGCCATCGCTCCGATTCTCAGTTCTCGGTGACCAGCGCTGAGTGTGCCTACTTCGTCTTCCAGAACGCAGTGGATGTGTTTTGTTCCTATCTGCCGCAGAGTAAGGAGAAGATCACCCTGATCAGTAGTATCGGGGCCAAGCTGGGCATAATCCGTTCCCGCTGCGAACACTTTGCGAATGAATACAAACCGGATGTCGAGTTCGGACTGGAGCACATTAGGATCGGAAGAGCCAGCTTGCTGGCCAAATCGGAGCTGGGAAACAGCAGCGAAAACGAGGACTCCTCTGAGCAGGACCTAAAGCGACAGAAGCTAACCGAGCAAACCAAGAGAGCCATTGGCAAGTTGCCAGGCCAAAAGAAGTCGACCTTCTCGTTCACCCGACTGGCAAGCTGCATCCTTGAGCGGATTGCTGTGTGCGTGAGTCACTCGGAGCCGGTGCTGCTCGTCGGTGAAACCGGTGTAGGCAAGACATCGTCGGTGCAATATCTTGCCGAGCGTACGGAGCACAAGCTGGTGGTAGTCAACATGAACAACCAGTCAGATGTATCGGATCTTGTTGGTGGGTTCAAGCCCGTGGAACTCAATTATGTACTTGAACCGCTGCGCATTGAATTCGAGTATCTTCTGTGCGAGACCTTCAATGCGGAAAAGAACACGCAGTTCCTGCGCATATTTAGCACGCACTACAACAGTGGGCGCCACACTGTAATCATCCGGACCATGATTAATATTTGCCTGCAGGTGGCCAAGAATCCGGAATTGAGGCGCAACCAGTTGCTGCCCCGCTGGCAGACGCTGAGTGAGAAACTGCAGAAACTGCAGATGCAGCTGGACAAGAGCATCAACATTTCGTTCGCCTTTATACCCGGCTCCCTGGTGAACTGCATCAGCAACGGCGACTGGGTTCTGTTGGACGAGATCAACTTGGCTTCGGCGGAGACCCTGGAATGCCTTTCCACCATCCTCGAACCGGAGGGCTCTGTAGTTCTGCTAGAGCGTGGTGACTTCACGCCCGTTAAACGGCATCCGGACTTCCGCATCTTTGCTTGCATGAATCCTAACACCGACATTGGCAAGAAGGACCTGCCCGTGGGCATACGTAATCGCTTCACGGAGTTCTTTGTGGACGAACTGACAACGGATGCAGACTTGAGTCTTCTGGTGAGCGATTACCTAGCCAATACTGGCATCCAGCGAAAGTCCGTGCACAGCATCGTCCAGCTGTACAAATCCCTGCGACGGCTGTCGGAGCTCCAGCTGAATGATGGCCTCGGCAATCGTCCCGTTTACTCGTTGCGTACTCTGTGCCGCAGCTTGAGGATCTGTGCGCGAAATCTTTGCGGCTCAATCGAGCGGAATCTGTACGAGAGCTTTTGTCTGAGTTTCCTCACCCAACTGGATCCAGAGTCGCACCACGTAGTGCTGCTGCTCATCCAAAATGCGTTGCTATCCAACGCCAAGGCAGTCTTGAGTAAACAGTTGCCTCAATTGGGTGAGAATTATCTGGCCTTCGAAGGCTACTGGATTCAGCCGGGTAACTTGGAGCTGCAGCCGTGCTCGCACTACATTCTCACGGAAAGTGTGAAAAAGAACCTGAAGGATTTGGCCCGTATCATTTCGATTGGAAAGCTGCCGATCCTGCTGCAGGGACCCACTAGTGCGGGCAAGACCAGTTTGATCGATTACGTGGCCAGACGGAGTGGCAATCGGTGCCTAAGGATCAACAATCACGAGCACACGGATCTTCAGGAGTATATTGGCACGTATGCGGCAGATTTGGACGGCAAGCTGACCTTCCGGGAGGGCGTTTTGGTGCAGGCCATGCGCCATGGCTTCTGGATTATTCTGGATGAGCTCAATCTGGCCTCCACGGACATTCTGGAGGCTCTCAATCGTGTGCTGGATGACAACAGGGAGCTGTACATTGCGGAGACCCAGACGCTGGTCAAGGCCCATCCCAACTTTATGCTGTTTGCCACACAGAATCCGCCGGGTCTCTATGGCGGTCGAAAGACCTTGTCGCGAGCCTTCAAGAATCGATTTATAGAGCTCCACTTTGCGGATATACCACGAGTTGAGCTGGAGACCATTCTTGAGAAGCGCTGTTTGATTCCGCCGTCCTATGCCCGCAAGATGGTCCAGTGCATGACGCAGCTACAGCAGCATCGTCAGAACACCGCCAAGCAGGTGTTCACCCTGCGTGATCTCTTCCGCTGGGGCAATCGTTATACACACGCAGACAAGTCGCTGCACGAGGACACAAAGTATGACTGGAATCAGCATCTTGTGGAGGAGGGCTATCTGGTGCTGTCCTCCAAGGTGCGGTCACAGGAAGAGCACGAGCTGATCGAGAGGACACTGCACGCCAACTTCCGCAAGAAACTGGATATGCAGCAGCTCTTCGACGTCCAAACGGAGCGGGAGAACTCCTCCATGGTGAGTCGAAAGATTCTGAATGCCATTAGGAACTTCAAGTTGCGCGGCGACATTGTCTGGACTCGCAATATGACCCGCATGGCTGTGCTCACCGCAAAGGCCTTGGAATTCAACGAACCTGTGCTCCTGGTCGGTCCAACAGGTTGCGGCAAGACCACCGTTTGCCAGTTACTCGCCAGCATTGCGGATGTCCAGCTGCGCATACTCAATTGTCACATGCACACTGAAGGAGCGGACTTCTTGGGCGGATTGCGTCCTTGCCGCGGAAAGGAATCTACACAGCTGTTCGAGTGGGCCGATGGTCCCCTCATCTATTCCATGCAGGAAGGATCCTACTTTATGGCCGATGAAATATCCCTGGCTGAGGATTCAGTATTGGAGCGTCTCAATTGCATTCTGGAGCCAGAGCGCACGGTACTTCTGGCGGAGAAGGGCGGCGTTGCCGAGGTGGATGTAAATCCGGACTTTGTGGTGCAGGCTAAGCCGGGCTTCCAGTTCCTGGCCACCATGAATCCTGGTGGAGACTTTGGAAAGAAGGAACTCTCACCCGCTTTGAGAAATCGTTTCACCGAGGTCTGGTGCCTGCCCTCCGACAACAAGGAGGATCTCATTCAGATTGCCTACAACTGCATGAACAGACAGGAGGGTCAGGACAAGATAAATACGCACAAAGTGGCCCAGTATCTGGTTGAGATCGTCCTGCATATCCGAGACTCCAACGAGAAGTTTAAGTTTTCGGTGCGCGACATCCTGGCCTGGGCCAATTACATGGTCAGCAATAGCAGACTTAGCATTGCCGAGCAAGCCATATTCGGTCTGGAAACTATTTTCCTGGATGCTCTCGAAATGCTACCCCACGAATCGCAGGAGCAAGTGGAACAGCTTAAGGCTAGGATTACCAAGGAGGCTGTCGATCAGGCAGGTCTGATCCTGAACCAAAAGTTTGCCCTGGAGGAAGTTATGCAGAAGAGAGGCGTTGAAGTCCAGCTGGATGAGTCGCGCTTTGGCATTCGTCCGTTTTTCATAGAAGTGAATCCGGAACGCTTGTCGCCGGCCAAGGCAGAATTCCTATTCGATGCTCCCACCACCAAGCAGAACCTATTCCGTTTACTATCCGCCCTGTCGCTCCACAAGCCTGTGCTCCTGGAAGGACCGCCTGGTGTGGGAAAAACATCCATTGTGGAGAGCATTGCGGCAGCCATTGGATATCAGATCGTCCGAATTAATCTCTGCGAGCACACCGACTTGGCTGATCTTTTCGGCACCGATCTGCCGGCTGAGGATAACCTGCTCGAGTCCGAAGTGGCATCTTCGGGTCTCCGTCAAATGGGCAGCTTTGTGTGGCGCGATGGCCCACTGTTGGCCGCTCTGAAGGCTAAGAATACCTGGATCCTGCTGGACGAGCTGAATCTGGCGCCGCAATCCGTGCTGGAGGGTCTTAATGCAGTGCTGGATCATCGCGGAGAAGTCTACATTCCGGAATTGAACAAGAGTTTTCACTTGGCTGGCTCCACGCGTATTTTTGCCTGCCAAAATCCCCTCAAGCAGGGTGGAGGACGCAAGGGCTTACCACAATCCTTCCTCAATCGCTTTACAAAAGTGTATCTCCGCAAGCTGACCACCGAAGATCTGCTCCATGTGGTGAATGCCAAGTACGGAACGTACTTTGAGCAGTTGAATCGCCATTTCGTAGAACTTCTGGACAAGAACTCCAAGGGAAATCTCTTTGATATCTACGAGGGAAAAGGAACCAAAGCTCCAACAAACGACTTTGATTTAGCAGCTCGCTTGGTGCTGTTCTCGGAGCAACTCGATCGAGGAGTAGCCTCCATGGAATTTGGTTACAAAGGCGGCCCCTACGAATTTAATCTCCGTGATATTCTCCGCTGGTGTGATCTGCTCCACAATCCACAAACCGGTTACATCATGGCAAAAAAATCAACTCTTCGACAAGCTTTCCACGACTTTCTGCTGACCCTTTACGAAAGAATGCAGCTAGTGTATTACCAAAGGATGCGCTGTGACCAGGACAAGTTGTATATACGAAATGTCTTCTCCGCTGTCTTCCAATGCGATGCCGAGCAGCTGAATGCTATATCCGAGGATGTGGCTCTTTATTGGACAGCGGATAAGGTGTATCTAAATGATGTGGTACTGCAGCGAGAGCAGGGCGATATTCTTGACATGGCCACACGACAGGAGCAGGAGCCACCCATGCTACTGGACAGCCAGAGGCAGCTGCTCAAGCAGATCGTTGAGACCGTGCACATGGAAAAGCCTCTGCTGCTCTGCGGATCCACGGACAGTGGCAAGACCAAGCTGATTGATGCCCTCTGTGTGCTTTCTAATCGAGCTTGCAACACAGACATCATTGATGACTCGGTGACGGGTAGTTTTCAGCAGGTGAGAACTTAGATTTTATTTAGTAGATGTCCTTTAAATGCTCAACTTTTTTTCTTTCAGATTGATTTGAATCGTCACCTGGAGGTGATTTACAAGAAGGTGGAGATCCTGGTCTTTGCCAGCGTTCAACGTGCGTTTGTTCAGCAGATTCATTCGGAATTTACAGAGCAGTTGTGGAACTTCTGGAGCAAATACAATGCCCTAGCTAAGGTGACAACAGGTGAGTGAGAATCCTATTACCTATACCCATTTCTACAAAGTATTATCCTTTCTTAGAGTCCCAGCAACACAGCGTATTGGATGAACTGAAGCTGTTTAGCGAGCGTTTGGATTCACTGGGTAAGATCATCGAGAAGCTGGAGGCCACGCCGGCGGCATGCCAAGTGGAGGCATTCCAACAGCTAAAGGACATCAAATCGCAGCTCTTCCTGCTACAGGCGTACATTAAGTCAGCCGATTCACTCAACACGGGCGGATCTTTTGAGTGGGTGGACTCCCGAATCGTGACCTCCCTGAAATGCGGTCAATTCATTTTGCTCGAGCATGTCAATCTCTGTTCGTCGGCTGTCCTGGACCGCCTGAATCCTGTATTTGAGCCGAACGGAAGCCTGCTGATTGCTGAAAAGGGAATTAGCGCCCAGGATAGTGCTGAGGTGGTGACCAAGTCCCCCGGTTTCCGGGCCTTCCTCACCGTGGATCCCAAGAATGGAGAACTATCGCGAGCCATGCGCAACCGTTGCATTGAACTATCCCTGTCCAGGGACAGCTACTCTGTGGATGACATGCGTGCATTTGTCCATGAGCAAGGCGTGCACCAAACCGAGGCCATAGACTGTATTCTGGGCATCCACAAGGGTATCAGTCAGCTGACAGAGTTTAATAGCTACACCATCTCTCACCTGACCCAGTTCGCCTTCCTGAGTGCGGCGTACAAGCGGATCGGTTACCAGCTCAAACGTGCCATCTATGTGGCTGCAATGGAGGTGTACGTGTACTCTGCCAGCACGGATTTAATGGGCTTTGGATTGTCATACTACCAAAACAAGCTGCGTGACGTAGTGATGGCACAGACCGAGTTGTTCGAGGAACATTCGACATCCCAGGAGGATCACCTAAGCAACGTTATTCTCAGCACAGGAAACCTCAACTCTTTGGCTCTGATCAAACTGCAGGCAGCTGCTCTAAAAGTTCTACTGAATTCATCTGGGCATATGCCCGAAAAGCAGTTAGCAGCTCTCTTCCAGGATATTAAGGACCTAAAACTGGATCAAATAAACCGAGAGGAACTGATCCGGCACTTCCTGTACATACTCTACGAGTCATCCGCCTTTGGAGACTTGGAGATGAGACATCAGTACCTGGAACCTTGGCTTAAAGAACACCCAGCTCTTCAAGAGTTATCCAAACATCTTTACACATGTCTGATAAAGAGAAAAAGCCAAACTCTGGTGAATCTGCCCTGGAATCGAAGACTCTTTCCCCGACTCCGTGACTACGCCTCAGATACTGACAGCACCTTGGAGGTTAAGTCCTTAAACCTGAGTGCTCTCCTACTGGCCCGCCTTTTGGTGGCTGAAATTCCCACTAGTCCTGTGACAACAGTAAAGGATATGAATGCCCTGCAGTATTCGCAGGGCCTGCAGGGGCGAACAGTGACCGAGAAGTTTGCTAATGATTTCCTAACTAATCTGGCTATCTTCCTCCAAGGGCTGCATAGCCTTTTGTTGGATAACTTGGAGGCAGCTAAGTTGGAGCTGCCGCAGTACGCTGAATTGGTAACTCGCTTCCATTGGTTCAATCGACTGCTTGTCACGGCCCAGCAAAAACTCCTGTACAACAATGTGGTGCATTTGCCACTGATGCACAAGCTGGTGCTTCATTTCCAATGGCTGGAGAAGCATTTAGTGTCGCCCCTGCTGGAGCTGACTTCCTCCGATGGGAAGCTCACTATTCGAAAGAGTATGCTAAAGATAAGAGAATACATTGAGGAGACAAAGCGACCCCTGAACGTGACATGCAAGATTTACTCCAAGCAGTTCACCCAGTTCCAGCCCTACTATCAGGATCAACAGGTGAGCGAATGCTCTCATATTTTGAAAGTTGTCAGTGTGTTTATATCCTATCTTCCTAGATACAACTTCACAACGATTTGGAGCAACTGGTGGCGTTGCTAAGTGTGGTGCCCATCTATGCTAGCTTGGAGCTCAACGATTGGCTCAAGAAATGGACGCTCCTGCAGTCGGATGAAGCAAACAAGTGGCGCACGTTCCTGCGCAGCCACACTCACGGCTTCCAACTAAAACCCTTTGAGTTGTGCGGAGCCCTGACCAATGAAACCCTACAAGCCTGTCTGCAGAGGCTGCAAACCAAGCTACAGGAAGCCCACGAGACCAGTACCGAGAACGGATTGGATCTAGAGTTGGATCTTAATGCTATAAAGGCCCTTTTGGAAGCTGACAAAGAGGAGAACCAGTATATACACCCAGATTCGGTGGCTTCCAATTCTCCACCACTTCTCCTGGCTGCCTTGAGAGAGTTGTTTGTGGAGCGCTTTTTAATGGGAACTCTCCGCGAAGATTTCGATGAGGAGGTGAATCCCCTCTATACCGATCAATTGCTCACCCTGAACAGCAACCTCTGGAACTGCCTGAAAACTTTGGACAATGCCTCCCACGCTGAGATTACAAGAGCTTGGATTGAACTAAGGAGAGAACTGACTCAGCTACAAAGCCGGGATGAGTTTTCAGCATTGCTACAGCAGGTCAGCAGTAGCTACAAGGGATTACGCACTTATCGGCGGCAGTATCGCAACTCCATTCAATGCTACCAGCTGGAGAATCTCTCGACGCGTCTGGACTGCGTGCAAGGGCCGTCGGGCGAAGATGACACCGATATCTCCAGTCGCTACAGCTATCAGGGTCCACCCTTGTCGGGTGTCTTCCTATCCCTAATCTGTCAATCGAACGGACAGCTACGATCGGTGCCCCTTAGCGAGTTGCAGGAATGGCGCTCATCCCTACAGCAAACCCGTCACCTGCTTTGGGAGAACTCTCAGCTTCTAAGTCCCAGATACAGCGCCAGGGTTAACCGTCTATCAGAGGCCCAGGAAAATGCCAGTCAACTATTACAGGAGGTGGAATATGTTACCCACTTAAGTCAACGGGAACAAAAGTCAAACGAAGGCTTCGAAAACTGTACCAAGGAACTGACTGAGGTGCTTAAAAACTTAAAGGAGGATTCATTTAATGAGGACTCCATGGTAAGCGCCTTTAATGTTGCATTATCCAACGCCTTGGTGGGAGGCCTCGAGCTGTGCCTGCTCACCAATGCCCCATTGATTGATCCCGTGGAGAAGAACCGACTGAAAAACCAATATATAGCAGAGGATATCGCCTGCCTGAAAACCCTGACTACTACCTATGACTTCATGAAGATCGTGATGAAATACAGACATTTTGGAGCCGAGATATGTAATCAGCTGGAGGTCAGGCTGAAGGCGGCTCTTCAGCGGCAGCAGCAGCTCTCCCAGAAGCTGGCCCTGCGGCCGGAGCAATGTCTGTATGCCGCCCTAGTCCAGGATCTTACCCACTTCCTGCACACGAATGGCGATTGCGATACTCTCTACAAGCTCTTCCAGCTCATACGCTCTGAGTGGGGTAACTTCAAGGGATCACAACCGGCCACGAGTGCGCAATTGAAGAGCAGCACTGAGGCTCTGGGAAAGCTGGAGCTATGGCTGGCCAACGCCCAGAGATTCGTGCATCACACACTCTCCAAGTATTCAGCTTACTACCAGGACTTTGTAGAGCCCATCAAGTGCGCAGTAAACCAACTGCGATTCGGCTTCGAATCTCTCAAGGCAATCTTCGCGCGAGTCCAGCGGGCGGGCAGCGTTGCGCAGGCGGAGCAAGTGCAGAAAACCATTGCCGACATCGTTCAATTCCCGTCTCAGCAACCACTGGTGATTAGAAACAGCAGGCTATACAGCCTGCTGTCCGAACTGCCCCACAGCGAGTACGAGTACTTCCGCCTGCTGAAGGCCAAGTTGAGCGAGCTGAGCAACTACATCTCCCTGGGAAACGTGATAGATGAGACCACCTTTGCGGCCTACGACGATGCGCTGAGCATATGCAATCAGACCTGGCAGCAGGAGGAGCAACGTCGCTGCCAGCTCAAGGCGGAGGAGGAGAGTCTGTATGTGACCAGAACCAAGGGAGGAGTGGAGAGCGAGGAGTTGCAGGAATTGCACGAGATTGAGCAGAATTTCCCCACGAACCTGGACGAAGATTTTGCCGAGTTCGTATCAGAACCCACCTTGGAGCAGGTCCTAAAACTGGACAAGAAGGCGAGCGCAAAGGCCAAGCAGGCCCAGATCGTTGTCGAGGAGGATTACGCCTTCCTCGCTCGCAACTTTATAGCTGTGATGGGTCAGCACACGCCAGTTTATTACAAGGAGCCCCCCAAGTCCTCGAAGGAATCGGAGCTTCACCTACTGTCTCCCTATCGGGCACGCTTCCAAGTGTTTGCCCACCTGCATGGACATTATAAGGCCGCCTTGGGAACGAGTCTGGATGAGAGGGCCTGCAATGGCTTGGCCTTTGGACTGGCTCTGCAACAGAGGCAGCTGAAGGATATCGAGTTGGAGGAGGGAGTGGCTGCTACTCCCTACGATTTCTACAAGGACTCCAACATAAGTGAAATCCAGAACTGTCTGGGCGTAATGGAGCGCATTGAGAAGCGCGTGATGGAGCAGCTGGAACTGTATCCGGAGCATGCCGGCTTGGCGGACATCAAGCTGGTGATTGGCCGCATCCGCCGGCTGCCTGCTCATGCCTCCGTGGTGCGCTTCAACACGGGCTTCCAGCTGCTGAGGCAGAAGCTGGCCTTGTGGAACGAGGTGGCGCACAGGAACAACAACCTGGTAACGGAGGAGACTGAGGTGGCCGAGTTCGTTCAGCGCTGGACACGGCTGGAGCTTCAGCACTGGCGCAATTGTCTGGGACAGACGGCTGCCCAGGTGGAGCTGCAGGCCTATCGCTACTGGTTCTTCATTTACAACCTGCTGCAGCAGTTCCTCCACCAACAGCAACTGGATCAGTCTTATACGGATATCAAGTATGCAGAACAGCGCTTCGCCCAGGAGCAGCTGCTGGACGCCCAGGACCTGGGACAGGCTCAGCGCTTGGAACTGCCACAGGTTGTGCGTATTCTACGGCAGTTTGTGGAGGCCTCCTGCTACGGTGACTTCCATATACGTCTTCAGTTGCTGCACGGCTTCGAGATGTATTTACACAATGTGGAGCGGGCGGGAAAGATTGAAGGATTGCCACCACTAATCGCCGCCTTGCACAATCTTCAGCTGTACTTCTCCCAGTTTGCCGGCGAGGTTGCAGACGCAGTGAAGTTCAAGCGGTCGCCCATCGAAAAGAAGCTCAAGGAGTTTGTCAAGATCCAGAGCTACAGCAAGGACCTGAGCTACTTTAGTATGCGGAACAGCGTGGCCAGCGTCCATCGAAACCTGAACAAGTTCCTCAAGGAGTACCGGCTGGCGTTGCAGGAGAAGATCAGCGAGGTTTTTCAGCCTAAGGATTCCACAGCCAAGGACTACACCTTTGGCAGCGACAAGGGCAAGGGTCTGAGGAACTACAACAAGATGAAGTATCTGAATACGGAGCGACAGCAGTTCGTGGCCAGCGAGAAGCTGCTGGAGAAGTACGCCATTCCGCCGGAGTTTGTGTCGGAGAACTCGCTGCTCCAGCGGCTGGACAAGCACTTCAGGACTGCCCGCCACGTTGTGAAGGAGACACTGGGACAAGTGCCCTATAGCGAGCTAATCACTGACTTGGATGACCTGCTGGCCAGTCAGCTGGAGCGATGCGAGCATTTGCGCTCTCTGAATGTGGATCGGTCAAAGGAGCGGCCCCAGCAGAAGCAGGAGGCCAAGCAGATCCTGCAGCAGAAACGCAAGGCCCTCACGGATCTCTTCAAGATGCTGCATCGCATGGGTGCCAGCTACAAGACCGGTCTCTTGGAGCTCTCCCTGCGCAGTGAGTTCGAGGACTTCCAGCTGCCACCCTTCTCCATTCGGGCCATGTTGCCACGTCTGCACCCCAGTGCCCAGGAGTTGAACGAGCACCTGGATCTGTACTACATGAAGAGCGTTTTCAAGCTGAAGCTGCTCCAGAACATTATGCTGACCCCGCTGTCGGAGCTGGGACCTCCCAATATCGAACGCATTAAGGGCTTTGCAGTGGATCTGTTCCTCCTCGTGCAGCAGCAGCGGGAGCAGCTATCCGGATCCACCAAGGAGCTTCATGAGCTGCGTAACTCTTTGGAGAACTTGCGAAAGCTGGCTGAGGTGGTGCCGCAGGCGGAGAGTGACCCAGGTACGCTGAGTTTTGCCAGAAATGCCGATGCGGCAACTCTACTCAAGCGTAATCTCTGCCAGATTCATTACGTGGTGAAGCAGTGGCAGCTGCTGCTTAGCTGCGCCCCAAGTTCCATCAGGGAGAACAGTGGCAACAGCATTCTGTTGAGGAGTGTTCCCTTGGCCCAACAGGAACTGCAAGATCTTAGCAGGCAAATCCTGAGCAGCAGTCAGAGATTGCTAACCGAACTCAACGCCGGTAGTCTGGAGCTCCTTTCCAGAGAAAAGCTGGATTACTATGAAAAGAACTATCAACAAATTTTGCAAATCATAGAGAAGGCTTTGGAAACACTTCGAGCAGGTCAGAACAATGATATTCTGCCAGTGGCACAGCCACTCCTAGAACTGCTTATGAACCTACGAGCCGAGAAGCCCGCGGAGATCGGCTCGGAGACCATAGATCTGGCCAATGCCGACACAGAGCTGGCCAATATAGCCCACAGTGTCTTAATCTCGCTGCAGAAGATTTACAAGCAGCATGTTGCCAAGAAGGAGGATCAGCAGAATGGTGGCAATGCCAAGGAGCAGCAGAATCAAGAGTCGCAGGAGGCGTTGCGGGAGCAGCACCTGAAGAAGTGCCTTACTGGGGAACTGACCTCCGATTGGCAACAGCTCACCCTGCCCCGTGTACTCGGCAAGCTTTCCAATGTGCTGCTCGTGCTCAGGCATTCGGACTCCCAAGGTCAGGACAAATTACTTTGCGTGCGACGAGCCATCGCCCTGCTGCCCATTCTGGAGCAGTATCAGCTGTTGGCCGATTACCTGCTGCTCCAGCAGCTGGCCACCCACAAGGTCTCCGCCAAAATGCTGTCCATTGTTTTGACCGTGTTCGTGGAGATTGGCAGCAAAGGCTTCTGTGTGCCGCCCGATCTCATGCAGGATGAGGAGGGGCAGTCGAAGCAGGACTCGAAGAACGGCGAGGGCTTCGGTCTGGAAGATGGCACTGGAGAGAATGATGCCTCCGATAAAATCGAGTCCGAGGACCAGCTTGATGATGCTAAGCGACCGGAGGATCGGAAGGACGAGGGCGACAAGCAGGAGCCTGACTGCAAAGAGGAGAAGGGCATCGAGATGAGCGACGACTTCGATGCCAAGATGCAGGATGTGGACAAGCCCGAAGAGGATGATAGTGGTGAGTCTGAAGATGAGGACGACCTCAATAAGGAGATGGGCGAGACGGAGGAGGGTGCTGAGAAGTTGGATGACCAGATCTGGGGCGATGACGAGGAGAAGCCCGAGGAAGAGGAGGAGCAGCCCGAGATGAACGAGGAGGATCAGGGCAAGGGCAGCAAGGATGAGAAGGATGAGCATAACGATCTGGACACCAAGAACGATGCAGCCAAGGAAGACGGCAAGGATGAGCACGAGAAGGACGGCTTGGATGCGACAAACGAGCCGAGCGGCGAGGACAAGCGCAAGGAGCAGGCCAAGGATATTGACGACATGAAGGATCCTGAAATGGATGAGGAACAAACCAATGCCATGCACAACGAGCTGGAGGAGCCGCCCGAACCCGAGGAAATGGATCTGGGTGACATGAACAACGTGGACGAGGGTCACGACGATCCAGAGGAGCAGCCCACCGACGAGAATCCATTTGACATTGATGCCATGAAGGAGAACATGCAGCCGGCTGAAGAGCCCGAAGCAGATGCTGAGGAGGAACCTGCTGCAGAGGAGGAGGGCAACGATGCCCAGAGCGAGGGCAGCGACTCAGAAGAGGATGAGGCGGGCACCGAATCTAAGCCAGCTCAAGAAGGCCAAGACGAGGGAGACGAAGCCACACCCGAAGACGAAAAGGAAGAGCCCGAGACGCAGACACGCGGCGAGATCGAGGAGGAAGACGAACCAAAGCCGGAGGATGCCGCTGAGGACGCCAAAGAAGAAGAAAAGCGCGAGGAAAAGCCAGAACAGCATTCACAGTCCAAGGACAAGGCAAGCAAAGAGGAAAATGTACAATCCATGCCTGAAACAGAGCAGAGCAGTTCTGCGGATCAGGTGCAGCCACAGGACCAAGATATTAAGCAAGACCAAAAGCTGGACGAACAGGAAACGGGCGAGGAGAAGGATGGTGTCGGTCAGGCGGAGAACGATGTAAGTTTTGGGGGAAACCTTACTGAGGATTAGCTCTTAATCAGCTTAAATTGCAGACCAACGATGGCGGCCATCAGGGTGTGGCTGAAACCCAGGAAACGGTGTCCCAGGAGGAGCGCAAAAACGAGCGGCAGACGCAGGAGAAGCGCAAGCAGGGACAAACAAACGAAGAACGTTCCTTGGGTAAGCAACAGCTTTAACTCTGTCCAGTAATTCCAAAGTAACTAAACCTTGAATCCCTAATCTTGAACTGCAGGTGAAGCTGAAAAGAATAAATTAAAGCAGCTCAAGACAATTGATCAGCTGAAGGAGTCCAAGGAGGACGACGCTGAACAGTCGCAGCCGCCAGAACCCACGGATCAAGCAGAGGCTGAGGAATATCAGCATGTCAAGGAGCCCAAGAACAGTGACAAAACCACTCTAGATAATGCCACCGAAGAGCAGTCAAAGAAGATCCACCACCAGGAAGATGAGCCCACCAACGAAGAGGAGGGTGAGGCGGAGAATAATGAAGAGTTAATGGAAACCGAAGAGCCCGCAGCAGAGCCTGAGGAAGATGCTCAGCTGGAGCAGCTGGGCGCGGAAAAGACAGAGCAAAAGTCTGATAAGCCCTCCAAGACGGACCAGTCAAAGGAACGTCTGGAAACACCAGAGGGAATGGAGATCGAGGGTGAGGTGGTGCCCACTATGACAGTTCCTCGCAGTGCAGAGACCACCGCGCACAGCAAGTAAGTTACAGCATCTTTGTTCTAAATTTGTTTTACTTGATCTAACAAATATCTCTCCTAGCACCGATATCCTGCTGGACAAGAGCTCCCATGCGGAGGAGTTGAGCTCAGCGGAGCAGATTGAGCTCAGGCAGCAGTATCACCAGCAGTTGACCACATTCCGGGGGGTAAAAAAGCCCAAGAAAAAATCAGAAATTTGGTATTAATGGTTCATTTCAGGCCCAGCCGCTGCACGAAGACTACGAGAGCTGGCAGAGCATTTCTAACCGAATGACTCAAAATGCCCGCGAGCTCTGCGAGCAGCTGCGTCTCATCCTAGAGCCCACGAAGTGCACGCGACTGAAGGGCGACTACCGCACTGGACGTCGCATTAACATGAAGAAAATCATTCCGTACATCGCTTCGCAGTTTCGCAAGGACAAGATCTGGCTGCGGCGCACAAAACCGGCGCAGCGTGACTACAAGATAACCATCGCAATCGACGACTCCAAGTCGATGCATCACAACAACTCCAAGACACTCACTTTGGAGGCCATCTCACTGGTATCGCAGGCGCTTACCCTGCTAGAGAGCGGACGACTGAGCATCGTGTCTTTCGGCGAATCGGCACAGATTATCCTCAACCATACGGAACAGTTCGATGGGCCGCGTCTGGTAAACGCCCTGAACTTTGCGCAGGACAAGACAAAGATTGCCGGACTCCTGGATTTTATACGCACTGCCAATGCAGAGGAGAGCGGCCTGGGTGGCGATAATGGCCTGTTCGAGAACCTATTGCTTGTGCTCAGCGATGGGCGAAACATATTCAGCGAGGGTGCCCAGAAGGTCAAGAACGCCATTAAGCTGGCGCGCCTGCAGCGCATCTTCCTGGTCTACATTATAATCGACAATCCGGACAACAAGGTATTGTACTTGAGATTGTATTCCTTAGGGCACCACTAAATTCTGCATGTTGCTTTCAGAACTCCATCCTGGACATACAGCATGTGGCGGTCAATGCGGACGGATCTGTAAACATCAGCTCCTACCTAGACAGCTTCCCATTCCCCTACTATGTGATCGTCCGAGACCTCAACCAGCTGCCACTGGTGCTCAGCGAGGCGATGAGGCAGTGGTTCGAGTTGGTCAACAGCGAGTAGTAAAGAATTGGATTGTAATAAGTCATCACGGAGATAATATTTTTAGATATTAATATTTAAGTAATGAACATATTTACTTGATAAGTTAAATGAATTCGAAGTGCATTCTTTTTGTTATTTTTACCCAGAGGGTCCTGACCAGCCATTGAAAGGCGTTTTAGGTTTAAGTGAAAATGTTACTTGAAATATATATATATTTTTTTTAGAAACTTAAAATACTAAATTCAATATGCAAGATCAAGGGCCAAGATGCTAAAGGATTTCAGAAATATTATTAAACAAGACCAAAGAGGAGTCTAAGTCTAAGGTAATTGTTTAGATATCATTGTTATAATTTATAATTAATTATAATTTCTTTATTTCAGACACAAGCAAATACCAAGTACAAACGGGATAGTAAAGCCCTTTTAATTTTGGAGATATTGTGGAAATTAAACATTTAAAAGGAGGTAATTTTGTAATTACTTCATGAAATTTTTTATATTCGATTTTTGAGAATTTACCATAGGTTGCAAAGAGATGTACCAAAGACTAGCACATTAGTATTTGAGCTAATTGAAAAGGATTTTGATTAGCCCTACAATTAATTCAAATGCCATTGTTCTAATCTTTGGAAAACCAGTGTCCAAGGCCACATTCGAATCGAATTAAATGAATTGGGCGCTCAGACTTCGTCGACATCAACAGGTGTCCTCACTTGAGTAAAATACGAGTAGACGACGATCCAGAAGTAAATCTCCACGCCTGGACACCGGGTTAAGTGGATCAATTCTGGTGTGAGATCTATAAAAAAACAACTTACATATATACACGGAACAGACTGGAACGACGGTCACTCGCTGTTTGGACTCATTCGCCAGCAGGAAGATGCTGTAACTGGCCAGGATAACGCAGTTGATCAGGCTTGTGATGAGGAAGAATATCAGTAAGACTGTCGCTTTCTACATTCGGATGGAAAACATGGAATCAACATCGAATTATTTTACCTCTATGGCCAACTTACGATCAAAGCTCCGCCCAGCAGGAAGAAGCATCCGATGCAATGACAAATGGCCACCGCATGCTCGATGTGATGTGTGAACACCTCTGAAAAGACGGAGTGGTTCTCACTTTGTAGGCCCATGGATCGACCCAATCAGACACTTACGTTTAATATTGAGTATCGCGAGATTAAAGATGAAGTCTAAAATGGAAATCACTATGCAGGCCTTGCGCAACCCAATGCAATAGCAGCATTTCCGGAGCATTTTAAGATTTCGATATAAAATACTAAACAATATTAATAAACTGAGTGATAAGGCACGGCAGAATCTGGCAACCCAAAGGTTTTATTTTTACAAACTGCATGCGTACAATTTTATATAACGTAAAATTTGTATATTAGGTTAGATAAAGAGAGCTCCTCCCAGGGCAGCGTAGAAGGAGTAGGCCACCAGCCAGAGGTAAATGATAACCGCTGAGGGATACAATGGGTTGGAAAGGAACTTATCTGGGAATCTGCTGCCATTAAGTGTACTCACGTATCAGGAAGAAATTTATGAGCATCACCCAGTACCAAATCCTCAGTATAATGTCCGCTATGATCAGTATGACCAAGGCCAGGATCTGGATTATGGTTATCAGTATGTAGAACAGCATCCAGCTGCTCCTTAACTGCGGGAAAATAATAAAATTTAAAAAATGTACCATTAAAATGGGTTTGGATTCTTACGCGAAAACTGCCGATGATTAGAAAAACGCAACTGAGAATATGAATCATGGTAAAGATGATGAACAGACGATGGCAAACATCGGGGTGGCCTAGGTATGGAACAGAGAGAATAGTATAAGGCATGGAATTCCATTTAGCATACACTTACCCGACTCTCCGAATAGGGCTACAAACACACCGCCAAATAAATCAAGTACAATGTGTACAATCCCGACTGCAATGGTGCCGATACGCAGATCCACGCAGCAGCAGCATCGCTGTAGATAGATCATGGTGCTGCTGGGTCTTGGGTTAGAATCTTTCCTCCTTTGCTTTCTTGGGCTTAGGGATTTCCGGAAAGTGCGTGTGATCGTATGTGTGTAGAGTTTACTATTGTAAGTGTTCTGATGCTAAAAACAAAGCATTAAGGCAATCTGATCATTGAATTTTTTGCATATTAATCAGCCTGCTAAGTCTCAAGTTTTTTGAAGATTTATAGATGGCAGCAGACTAGGATTTCCTGCCACAAACAATGGAACCATAAAGCCAGTATTAATAGGGGTTTAACACATGTTTTCCAGAAAAAGGACTTTAAATAGTCTGCCCTAAATTCTTTCTCCAAAGAAATGGTAGGTCACCGGCCGCAATTACCGTCCCTGGCCGAACGTGTCAATCGTGTTATATAATAAATTACAGCGTAAACAACGCAATCGGCAATTAAGGCGTATGCTTTTGGCAAATACTTGTCGGCCAAAAGTGGGCCGGGAAGACCCAGTGGACAGAACGTGACGTCGGCCATGCCCCTCCCTGCAGTCTGTGTTTGCCTTTGCAGTTTTCGTTTTCATCATCCGAATGGGAATCCGAATCGGAATCGGTATCCGAATCCGCCGCTGATATCGAAAACGAAACCGAAATGGGCACAATGCGCTGGCTGCCTAATTGGTATGCATCGCGATGCGCAGGCGCGGATTGAAGAGCTCCGCGTAACGCTTTGGGGATCCATCGGAAATATTATGCAAAGCGGCCCAGGCCCCAGGGCCCGGGGGTTATACAAACCTCTGCCGGCGGAGCCATATAAAATGAGAGATTGACCTGCAGCAGTAGCTTCATTCGTAGTCCAGCCATCGAAGAAACTAGCATGCAGACGTCGTGTATTCTCCTCCTTCTGGCCGCCAGCCTGGCCATTTGCTTGGCCCGCCCAGAGCCACCGAAATCCCGATATGGACCACCGCCGCCGCCAGCGCCTCAGAAGGAATACGGTCCACCGGCTCCCGCCCAGCCCTTGCCGGTCTATGGGCCCCCAGCTGCCTTCTATGGTCCACCAGCCGCCTCGGAGGCTCTGGTGACCAAGAATGTGTACGTTCATGTGCCGCCAGAGGAGCCGGAATACTATCCAGCTTCCGCTCCCATCCAGACCACGGTGCCCAAGAAGCATTACAAGATCATCTTCATCAAGGCACCCAACCCACCGACTCCAGTGCGCCAGGTGCTGCCACCGCCGGTTCAGGATGAGCATAAGACCCTGGTCTACGTGCTGGTGAAGAAGCCCGAGGAGCAGCAGCCCGTCATCCTGCCAGCACCCGAGCCAACGGAGCCCAGCAAGCCGGAGGTGTACTTCATAAAGTACAAGCAGCAGCAGGCCAAGCCGGCCACCCAGTACGGACCACCATCCGCCCCCTCGGAGGAGTACGGAGCACCGCCTGCCCCACGCACCCTCGAGCAGTTCTAGTTTGTATTGTCACCTAGGTACCACACAGCCCATGAATGTAAATATTATTTATGATCGCTGCCATTAAAGAGAGTTTTTAGAGAATGCGAAATTAAGCTGCGAGCCGGATTTTGACTTAGGGTAATCCCCTGGCGCAACATTTCATATTCAAGGGGGAATATGGATCAAATCAATTCCTTATGATTGTTCCTTATGATCAAAAAAAGGCTTCTTTGATAAGAGCGGTGAATATTGAGTAAACCTAAGATTAGTAATCTAAACACAGGACAGCTTTCCGATTTGAATTTAATGCATTTTTGGATTTGTTATGAAATCTGTAACATTTGATTGGTCGAAAAAATTGTGGTATAAAAATAATGGTAATTATTGGCTCAAAGAATGGATTATAATTTTAGCCACAAGGTTGTTTCTAATGTTAAATTAAGTATGCAGGTTTGTTACCCTAATAGAACCTAATACAGGACAGCTTTTCGATTTGAATTTAATGCATTTTTGGATTTGTTATAAATTTTATAAAATTTGATTGGTCGTAAAAATAGTGGTTAAAAAATTGGCACAAAGAATGGGTTTCAATTTTAGTCCGAAGGCTGTAATACAGTGAAGGAGTCATTTCCGACCCTATAAACCATATATATTCTTGATCAGCATTAAAAGCTGAATCGATCTAGCTTTGTCCGACCAAAATCTATTTTTTGCAAAATTTTCGAAAATTTCAATTTTTCATAAGGGGTTACATCATTAAAATTGTCGAAAATTGGCAAAAAATTGAATTTTTTAAAATGATAAACTGAGTATGCAGGTTTGTTATCCTAATAAAAACTAGCACAGGACAGCTCTCCGATTCGAATTTAATGCATTTTTGGCTTTGTTATGCATTTTTTAAAGTTTGATAGGTCGCCAAAATTGTGGTAAAAAAATATGGGTAAATATTGGCTCAAAGAATGGATTATAATTTTATCCACAAGGTTGTTAAAAATGTAAAATTAAGTATGCAGGTTTGTTACCCTAATAAAAACTAACACAGGGCAGCTTTCCGATTTGAATTTAATGCATTTTTGGATTTTTTATGAAATCTGTAACATTTGATTGGTCGAAAAAATTTTGGTATAAAAATAATGGTAAATATTGGCTCAAAGAATGGATTATAATTTTAGCCACAAGGTTGTTTCTAATGTTAAATTAAGTATGCAGGTTTGTTACCCTAATAGAACCTAATACAGGACAGCTTTTCGATTTGAATTTAATGCATTTTTGGATTTGTTATGAATTTTATAAAATTTGATTGGTCGTAAAAATAGTGGTTAAAAAATTGGCACTAAGAATGGGTTTCAATTTTAGTCCGAAGGCTGTAAAACAGTGAAGGAGTCATTTCCGACCCTATAAACCATATATATTCTTGATCAGCATTAAAAGCTGAATCGATCTAGCTTTGTCCGACCAAAATCTATTTTTTGCAAAATTTTCGAAAATTTCAATTTTTTATAAGGGGTTACATCATTAAAATTGTCGAAAATTGGCAAAAAATTGAATTTTTTAAAATGATAAACTGAGTATGCAGGTTTGTTATCCTAATAAAAACTAGCACAGGACAGCTTTCCGATTTGAATTTAATGCATTTTTGGCTTTGTTATGCATTTTTTAAAGTTTGATAGGTCGCCAAAATTGTGGTAAAAAAATATGGGTAAATATTGGCTCAAAGAATGGATTATAATTTTAGCCACAAGGTTGTTAAAAATGTAAAATTAAGTATGCAGGTTTGTTACCCTAATAAAAACTAACACAGGACAGCTTTCCGATTTGAATTTAATGCATTTTTGGATTTGTTATGAAATCTGTAACATTTGATTGGTCGAAAAAATTGTGGTATAAAAATAATGGTAAATATTGGCTCAAAGAATGGATTATAATTTTAGCCACAAGGTTGTTTCTAATGTTAAATTAAGTATGCAGGTTTGTTACCCTAATAGAACCTAATACAGGACAGCTTTTCGATTTGAATTTAATGCATTTTTGGATTTGTTATAAATTTTATAAAATTTGATTGGTCGTAAAAATAGTGGTTTAAAAATTGGCACAAAGAATGGGTTTCAATTTTAGTCCGAAGGCTGTAATACAGTGAAGGAGTCATTTCCGACCCTATAAACCATATATATTCTTGATCAGCATTAAAAGCTGAATCGATCTAGCTTTGTCCGACCAAAATCTATTTTTTGCAAAATTTTCGAAAATTTAAATTTTTCATAAGGGGTTACATCATTAAAATTGTCGAAAATTGGCAAAAAAATTGAATTTTTTAAAATGATAAACTGAGTATGCAGGTTTGTTATCCTAATAAAAACTAGCACAGGACAGCTTTCCGATTTGAATTTCATGCATTTTTGGCTTTGTTATGCATTTTTTAAAGTTTGATAGGTCGCCAAAATTGTGGTAAAAAAATATGGGTAAATATTGGCTCAAAGAATGGATTATAATTTTAGCCACAAGGTTGTTAAAAATGTAAAATTAAGTATGCAGGTTTGTTACCCTAATAAAAACTAACACAGGGCAGCTTTCCGATTTGAATTTAATGCATTTTTGGATTTGTTATGAAGTCTGTAACATTTGATTGGTCGAAAAAATTGTGGTATAAAAATAATGGTAAATATTGGCTCAAAGAATGGATTATAATTTTAGCCACAAGGTTGTTTCTAATGTTAAATTAAGTATGCAGGTTTGTTACCCTAATAGAACCTAATACAGGACAGCTTTTCGATTTGAATTTAATGCATTTTTGGATTTGTTATAAATTTTATAAAATTTGATTGGTCGTAAAAATAGTGGTTTAAAAATTGGCACAAAGAATGGGTTTCAATTTTAGTCCGAAGGCTGTAATACAGTGAAGGAGTCATTTCCGACCCTATAAACCATATATATTCTTGATCAGCATTAAAAGCTGAATCGATCTAGCTTTGTCCGACCAAAATCTATTTTTTGCAAAATTTTCGAAAATTTCAATTTTTTATAAGGGGTTACATCATTAAAATTGTCGAAAATTGGCAAAAAATTGAATTTTTTAAAATGATAAACTGAGTATGCAGGTTTGTTATCCTAATAAAAACTAGCACAGGACAGCTTTCCGATTTGAATTTAATGCATTTTTGGCTTTGTTATGCATTTTTTAAAGTTTGATAGGTCGCCAAAATTGTGGTAAAAAAATATGGGTAAATATTGGCTCAAAGAATGGATTATAATTTTAGCCACAAGGTTGTTAAAAATGTAAAATTAAGTATGCAGGTTTGTTACCCTAATAAAAACTAACACAGGACAGCTTTCCGATTTGAATTTAATGCATTTTTGGATTTGTTATGAAATCTGTAACATTTGATTGGTCGCCAAAATTGTGGTAAAAAAATATGGGTAAATATTGGCTCAAAGAATGGATTATAATTTTAGCCACAAGGTTGTTAAAAATGTAAAATTAAGTATGCAGGTTTGTTACCCTAATAAAAACTAACACAGGGCAGCTTTCCGATTTGAATTTAATGCATTTTTGGATTTGTTATGAAGTCTGTAACATTTGATTGGTCGAAAAAATTGTGGTATAAAAATAATGGTAAATATTGGCTCAAAGAATGGATTATAATTTTAGCCACAAGGTTGTTTCTAATGTTAAATTAAGTATGCAGGTTTGTTACCCTAATAGAACCTAATACAGGACAGCTTTTCGATTTGAATTTAATGCATTTTTGGATTTGTTATAAATTTTATAAAATTTGATTGGTCGTAAAAATAGTGGTTAAAAAATTGGCACTAAGAATGGGTTTCAATTTTAGTCCGAAGGCTGTAATACAGTGAAGGAGTCATTCCCGACCCTATAAACCATATATATTCTTGATCAGCATTAAAAGCTGAATCGATCTAGCTTTGTCCGACCAAAATCTATTTTTTGCAAAATTTTCGAAAATTTCAATTTTTCATAAAATTGTCGAAAATTGGCAAAAAATTGAATTTTTTAAAATGATAAACTGAGAATGCAGGTTTGTTATCCTAATAAAAACTAGCACAGGACAGCTCTCCGATTCGAATTTAATGCATTTTTGGCTTTGTTATGCATTTTTAAAAATTTTAATAGGTCGCCAAAATTGTGGTAAAAAAATATGGGTAAATATTGGCTCAAAGAATGGATTATAATTTTAGCCACAAGGTTGTTAAAAATGTAAAATTAAGTATACAGGTTTGTTACCCTAATAAAAAATAACACAGGGCAGTTTTCCGATTTGAATTTAATGCATTTTTGGATTTTTTATGAAATCTGTAACATTTGATTGGTCGAAAAAATTTTGGTATAAAAATAATGGTAAATATTGGCTCAAAGAATGGATTATAATTTTAGCCACAAGGTTGTTTCTAATGTTAAATTAAGTATGCAGGTTTGTTACCCTAATAGAACCTAATACAGGACAGCTTTTCGATTTGAATTTAATGCATTTTTGGATTTGTTATGAATTTTATAAAATTTGATTGGTCGTAAAAATAGTGGTTTAAAAATTGGCACAAAGAATGGGTTTCAATTTTAGTCCGAAGGCTGTAAAACAGTGAAGGAGTCATTTCCGACCCTATAAACCATATATATTCTTGATCAGCATTAAAAGCTGAATCGATCTAGCTTTGTCCGACCAAAATCTATTTTTTGCAAAATTTTCGAAAATTTCAATTTTTTATAAGGGGTTACATCATTAAAATTGTCGAAAATGGGCAAAAATTGAATTTCTTAAAATGATAAACTGAGTATGCAGGTTTGTTATCCTAATAAAAACTAGCACAGGACAGCTCTCCGATTTGAATTTAATGCATTTTTGGCTTTGTTATGCATTTTTAAAAATTTTAATAGGTCGCCAAAATTGTGGTAAAAAATATGGGTAAATATTGGCTCAAAGAATGGATTATAATTTTAGCCACAAGGTTGTTAAAAATTTAAAATTAAGTATGCAGGTTTGTTACCCTAATAAAAACTAACACAG